TCATTGTGTGGAATTACACAGAACGAGGCGCTTGACGTGTAAGTGCGTGAGTGCGAGAATTCGAGTAAAGGTTAAACGGTGTATATCTTCGTGTACAGTGGTGTTATGTCCGTGCGTGTGTGTGTATGTGTGTGATCGAAGAACATCTTCGGCACGTCTATAAACAGAAAACAGTAAATTACGATACGAGAATAAGATGTGTTAAGAAATGAAACGAAAGAGTTCTTACCATCGGAAAATATTCACTTGTACGATAAATGGTCCTCTTCGTGGTAAAGTTGGGGAGGGAGATTCTTCTCCCTCCCAAATGTTCCTACAAAACACAAAGGCAGTGAGAAAACGAGAAGTTTATTCATTTATTACCTAAGGTCAAGATTATTACCTTAATCAGACAGCCTTTCTTCCCGAACAGTGTTATGAGAAGAGCGAAGGGTTCGTTAGGCTAGCCTAGGCTAACCTAACGAACCCTAACCGGAAGCTCAATCCTCATAACAGCTGTTTGGGAAGAAAGGTCGGCCGAATGTCGCGTCCGGTGAAGAAACGTGTCAAGTCCGTGGGTCACGTCCGGGTAAGAGAGGTCACGTCCGTTAAAAAGTGTCATGTCCGGGTGAAAAGTGTCGAATCCGGTAAGAAAGTCGCATCCGGGTGAAGAAGAGGAAATCGAAGAAGATCACCGCCTAGGCCAAGGCAACCGCAGCCGTCCGCAGCAACAAAACCACGGACAGCACGGTCCCTCGACTTCGGGGGCTCTCTCCTCCGACTCCTCCCCGTCCCGACTTCGGCAAGGCGGTGGCGTCGCCGTCGCGGACGAACGGGCAGAACACGACCAAACAGAAAGTGTCAGCTCGGACGAGCTGTCACTTTCGACATCCTCCACAGCAAGGTCTGTGGCCGGATGACCCCCGAAGACCTCGGCCAAGCGCACTGGACCCAGGGTGTAGCGTCGCATCATCCCGACTCCGGGAGGATGCCACGCCACGCGCACTTGGCGAAGGTCTTCTTCACCCGCTGCCTGTCGCTCGTCGAGCCCTCGCTCCTCCAACGGCACGGAACGACAGACTCGTTCCGCGTCGTCCGAGGAACCCTCTCCCTCCGGCGCCACCGCCTGCCTCCGCCGGAACCGCCTCCAACAACGCACCAACGTCTTCATCCTGTAAAAAAGAAAATTTGCAATTAGTCCAGTGAAAACAAAAGCTTAAATTAATGCTTAAATTCTTCCGAGTAAAAGCAAACTGCTCACCGCAGCCGCCTTTTTAAATCTAAAAGATTCGAATCCGAAGCGCAAACGGTCGACCATCGAACGATGTGCCGAGATGTCTTCTGGGACCGATTCTCCAAGTAATATTAAATAAATTCTTACGTCTAGGATCAATAAGGACTAAGACTTACCTAAAAAATCTTCAATCTTCTCTGTAAAAGGCACGAAACCGCAGAAAACAGCACGCAATCCAAGAGCGAAAGAAAAGCACGTCCGACAGCAACGAGAAACACAATCGAACTGCGATTCGTCATGTGTGACGTATTTCGAACAAACGTTAAAAAACGCGTCAACAATGTTCGAATTTCGTAAAAATTAGAATTTTAAAAATTTTTTTTAATTAATTAATTTATAATTATTTTTCTTTTTTAAATTTGACAAATAAATTATCTTCTGCATTTACATGGTGCAGAATGTCGACTGTGGAGAGATAAAAGACGATCTTTTTAAATTCTACGTCTCGAGGCTTGACCATATCCGAAATTCGTTCGAATAAATATCTTTTTCGTCCATTTTCGACAATGGCATGAAATAAATCAAATTCTTAGGATTTCGCCCAATATTATTTCGGTTTGCGGAAAGATTCCTCGGTCGCCGTCGGGTCACCGTTTCGCCTATTAATGCAACATCAAACTGGATAAAGTTAATATTAAAAATACCGAAAAACCTTTATAATACGGCCGAACGAAAATTAAGTCCGAGACAACGGGGATCTCGACACAGAGGATAAACAGACTGAGCTAGGGGGAAACGATCATTCTTTCTCCTTGAATTTCTGACTTTTTAAAGGATCTCTCCCCTAAATTCTTAATGTGATCGCTTAATCAATTTGACACGTCCGCAAGTGTTGATCCAACTTTGAAACTTTCGCTCGTACCTCTCATGCCATGATATTTTATTTCCTGACCGCTGAGAATTTTTTTTACTTACAACGCGACAATTTTGCTTTGGGTGGAATGCTACATTTATTTCCAAATTTTGTCATTGTCGTCCGTCCGCATGTCTTAACCTAGAGAACGGAATTATATGAAATCCGAGACCAGATGTGGAAACTTTAGAGACAGGAGGCCCCAATTAACTATAGGTCTATATGATCTTCTGATTCAAACCGAAAGTCTCGTTTTTTCAATTCAAAACGTCAGTTAACAGATGACTATTCTTAACGGAAAAGTGTAATGTACAGGGGCAAGCCCCTATTAGCTTGAGGTATTTTGAATTAAATGATTTCAAAATATGATTAAGAATTGCAGTCCGGCATTGTGACCATGTCACAATAGACAATCGCTCGTAGTTATCGTTTGTTTGTGAAAATATTTACGATGAAAACTAAATTTTGATCTTTGTCGTGTTATGAAGCAGAATATCGAAGTTAAAATCCTTCTGAAAGGTAAAAAGGAGTTCATAATTTCGAGAAAAGGCATTTTCCCATCAAAAATAAACAAAAGAAAACATGCCAGTAAGTGCAAGAGACTGATATGTAGAAACTACACCATTAAGATGTGTACAAATTGTGCACTATATCCATCATTGTGGATAACAAAAGTATATTATCACGAACTAACCTTTTGTTCGTTATGTTGGAGACACTGAAGCCGTGAGCGCGAATAGGGACCAATCCGAAATAGGCGAAATAAAGAGAACTATTTTAATCTCGGTCTCTGTTAATTATCCATAATTAAGAAAGACGTGATAGATATTACTAATCTGACAATTGGAAGAAGAAACCTTCACTTATAACTTTTTATACGCTCTCCAGCCTGACGAAATAGAGTCTGTCTCATTGAAGTTAACTACGAAGGCTAATGAGGAAACTATGAGGAAATTGTAGGCTTTTAGAGGAACCCTACAATTTCCTCACTCCTTAGAAATGAAAATAACGCCTACGATTCATTTCTAAGGAGTAAGGAAATTGTAGGGTTCCTCTAAAAGCCTACAATTTCCTCACTCCTTACAATCCTGTGCTTATTACATCGGGCTATCTCCTTATAGATAGAACAGAGGGTCTTGTGTTGTGTTATGATAGAACATTCGGAAAGGATAGATATCTACAAACTGTTCGGGATGAGGACGGCATGAAAATAGACAGTCCACTTATATGTTACTGTAGGCCTATTATCATACAATTTAGCAAAATCGCTGCAGAGGAAAAATTGCCGTCAACTTTGATGTTATAAGCAATGATGTAACGAAACGATGACGTCATCTACGTTTATATCAAAATATATTTTAACTTATCATCATGTTACTGAACACCGTTTAGTAAAACCGTAATAAAAAGTTTTAATTGGCATAAATTTGAGCTTTTGTATCATTTTGAATAAAATGCATTTTATAAGCATAAAATGAAGCCGTCAAACTGAATTAGCTCCATGAATAATATTCATAAACTTTGACCTACAGACCCGGAAGTTTCGCCAGCATCTCACTGATAACGAGAGAAGCTTAAGTTTAAAATTTGAGCTTTGTGAACCCAGTGGTTTCTCTCTCTACGAGCGTCTGCAGTGCCGGATGAAGAAAAACGAGAAGAAAATACAGCTTTTTTCGCAGATTTTTGCACTTTTCGAATGCTTATATTGCAGCAATTGCTTTATACAAAATCTTGAAATTTTGCACACTACCTAAGAAAATAATTTTCCTTCGGACGAGACGAGATATTCGAGATCACCATAGGTGTTTGGGGACGGATAAATCGACCCCCTAAAATCGACTCCGATTCCCATAATAAAAAAAAAAAAAAAGATTCAACCCCTCGACTCCCGACTCTCCATTCCTGCCTGTGACTTTTTTCTCACAGGAACCGTTTGTATACACTCGAGCGGCCACGTATGCGGGATTATACGGTTAAGGACTGAGGAGGGAAATAAGAGAGGCGGACGTGATGTACTCAACCAACGAAGTACTATAAGCAATAAACATTTAATTCATTAAAGCCAATATTATATGAGATATTTCATAAAATTATATATGAAAACTAGCTGTTACCCGCGACTTCGTCCGCGGAGGTTTTGCAAGCAAACCCCATTTACATTCAATATTTCAATAACCATAGTAATTGTTATATAACATCTACCACTGAAGAGAATTGCCGAGAATCAAACGAACTATTTTCAATTTGATCAATTTTCTGGAATGTTTACAATCGTTCTGTAATCGAACAAATTTGAATTTAAAACGGTTCGAACATTTTTAAAATCGAAATAGATAAAAATATTTATAACAGTGTCTGAAATGTTATTAGTTTAATACACCTAAGTACTCAATGAAGACTAAACGTAGTTGAAAACAAAAAATCGCACCTAAAATAGTACAGTAGAAGGCGTTCTTCCGGTTAAGCCTTAATGCTCTCCCCCACCCCTCGCGGGGGAATTTCAAAAAATCCATTCTTAGTGTGCATTGCAATGGCGACCCTACTAAAACACAGATAAAAACAAAAAATCGCATCTAAAATAGTACAGTAGTATCCGTTCTTCCGGTTAAGCCTTAATGCTCTCCCTCACCCCCCGCGGGGGAATTTCTAAAAATCCATTCTTAGTGTGCATTGCAATGGCGTACCCTAACTGTGTACCAAATTTCACCTCTCTAGATCCAGCGGTTTGCTCTGGGCGATGATGAATCAGTGAGTCAGTCAGTCAGGACAAGCAATTTTATATACAGTATAAAGATTACTATATCTTATTCTAGCCTATTCTATATATTATCCGAGGCTAATATCCGTGGGAGAGAGAGTCCGACCGGATATGTCGGGTCCCGTCCCTTTACAGCCGGCCGCCCCATTGAGGGCCTGGCGAATCCCTAAAAAAAAAGATGTTGATGGAAATCACTAAATGATGACAGCATCATCTTGCACGCGTGCACTTTAAATGAACCATTCCCGATACTTTTTGATCACTTTCTTTTTTTCTTTCCTTCTCTGATATGGAGATTCTGGCTGGTCACCTTTTCTCCGATGAACTCTTGTCCGCAATCAGTCAAATCGATGTGTGCGTGCTACGTAACGTTCGAGGGCCTGCACGTGCTGTCTAGGTGAGAGGTCTGTTCTTGCCCAATATATGGGTGTTAAAGTCTGGATGATTGTGAGATCGATCACAGTACCCCCGCGTTTCTTTATGCAGCGAGAGTGTGACGAAATGACGTCACGAGCAGTGTTGGCCAATTAGAAACAAGTTTCAGTGTGTTCTCTGTAAGGCGCTTCTCGAGCGCTGCGTAAAGAAACGCAGCCTATAGTATTATGGTTAAGCTCCCTCTACCGGATGGAAACGTTTCTACTTTTAAACTGATCGGAAATTAAAGGTACAGTATTAGAAACACGTGTTAGAAACGTCTTTGGAAAATAAATCTCCGTGACAGATAGAAAAAAGAATAAACACAATATGGCAGAGGATAATATGTTGTATGCTATTCACCAGTTTAACAATTTAAGCATTTCAGACGTAGATAATGATGAAATAATATTTCAAGATTTAAATGCAATTTCCACTTTACTCAAAAATGTCATAGAAGCTCTTAAAATAATTGATAATAGGTAGGGAAAGCACGTTTTTTTTTTTTTATCTTAAAATACGTGTATTCTATTATTATTTATTGGGTCGAGTGTAGTTTTAAGGACGACCAATATAACATATTTTCGAATTCTAATTTAGTAATACACTAAATATATAATAGACTTAGACGATTACGACGTACAGATAAAAATAAAGGTAAAAGTTTCAATCTATCTTCTTTTTAATTTGCACATTATGATCGCAACTCTCTATATATGTGTACTATAAGTAGAGATGAAAATATAAGTTATATTGGTTGTTGTTAAGACTACACTCAGTATAATTGTTATAAGATATATTGATCATTACATATTGATAGTATATATTGCATTTTATAAGCATTTTCTGTCTATTAAAACACATCCACATAATTATGTTAATCCCACTTAAAACATGACTGCATAGTTATTATAACTGACCAACAATTAAGTTATAATGACTTTGCTGTCAAGTCATGTTTATTGTTTATCCTCTTTGTTACATATACAATCGGAGTCAAAAGTGAATATACATGCTTCCTTATATAAGTTAATATGTGAAAAATCTGACATGTTAAATTAACTAGGAATTTTTATTTTAAATAATTGTATAAATCTATATTCTTAAAATTCATATCATTAGAAGTTGTATATCATGATTTGCAAAGGAATTTCTTGCATATTTGAGATTAAAGGTAGAAAATCTGAGTCAAAAGTGATTGTATAGTGTGCACTCACTTGCTGACTTAGTTTTGAAATTGCATTGTTGTTCAAAGAGTGATATTTTCATTGAAAACAATGATAAAATATAACTTTGATACAATGATAAAATATAACTTTAGTTATATCATTGTAAAATACAATGATATAACTACAATGATATTACTATATAATACAATGATATTAGGTTGGGGAAAAAGAAATCCATTATTTTTACGTTCATTTCAAGTCTTTATTTAACATGGTTTCGGTTGTTCGACTTGGATCAAATATGCACCGTTTTGTTTTATAATTTGTTGCCATTTTAAAGGTAACTTCATAATTCCTCTCTCGTAGAAGCCCTGCTCCCTATTGGCGAAAAACTTGACTAAGTGATTTTCGCAATCCTCTCTTGATGCCAATTTCTTATCACCGAGGAAATTTTGTAATGATAAAAAAAGATGGTAATCGCTTGGTGCCAGGTCTGGACTATAAGGTGGATGCATCAAAACTTCCCAACCAAGCTCCTGGAATTTCTGGCGAGTCACTATAGATGTGTGTGGCCTGGCGTTGTTGTGATGAAGTACAACACCTCTTCTGTTAGCCAATTCTGGCTGCTTCTGATCAATCGCTAGCTTCAAACGGTCCAATTGTTGACAGTAGAGGTCCGAATTTAGTGTTTGGCCATATGGAAGCAGCTCATAGTAGATGATTCCTTTCCAGTCCCGCCAAATGCACAGCAAAACCTTCCTGGCTGTTAGTCCTGGTTTAGCCACCGTTTGAGCCGCTTCACCACACTGACCACGATCGTTATCGCACAATATTGCCATATGTAACCCATTTCTCATCCCCAGTCACCATCCGTTTAAGAAATGGGTCGATTTCGTTCCGTTTGGCCAAGGCTTCGCAGATGGAAATTCGATCCATAATGTTTTCTTCCGTCAATTCATGTGGCACCCAAACATCAAGCTTCTTTTTGAATCCAGCTTTATTCAGATGGTTTAGAACTGTTTTATGGTCAATCTTTAGCTCCTGGGCAATGCTACGAGTGCTAACGTGCCAGTCTACTTCTATCATTTCCATGATTTTATTGACATTTTCGACAACGGGCCTACCTGTGCGAGGTGCATCTTTAACATCGAAATTACCAGAACGGAACTGACGAAACCAAAATTGCACATAATTGGCTGTGACAGTATCAGGACCATAAACACCATTCACAATTTCAGCTGCCTGGCTTGCATTTTCGCCTTTATTGAAGCAAAATTGTAAAACATACCTAATTTTCTCTTTGTTAACTTCCATCTTTTACACCCTATAACTCACAACTGAATTGACCAATCAAAAAACTGTAAAAGAATTTTTTTTAGTACAGAATGTCACTTTTCCAATAAGCACAAGTCTGAACTTGTGTCATCAATATTTTATGAGATATGTATCACTACAGCCATCTAGTGACAAAATAATGGATTTCTTTTTCCCCAACCTAATATTATTATATATGACAAAATTACAATGATATAACTTTAAATATAACTTTAGTTATATTTTATCATTGTAAATAACCAGTAACCGCACCGGTTACTGGTTAATTGTAGATAGTTGTGAAGTATATACAACCCGGTGTGGTGAGAAAGCACATTAATAACTTTAGTTAACATAACATGTTATAACCCTTATTATTATCATGAGTTATGTCATAAAGAAACATCTGAGGAAAAAAAAATGATTATGCATTTAAAAAATGAAGATAAGTTACTAAGAGAAATTGGAAGAAATGTCAAGAGAAGTCTGACAACAATTCAAGATATTGTGACAAGATATTTTTTACAGAATATGTTAAAATGTTCTCTTGTTTAGGATGACCCAGGAAGCTATCAAATGCAGACATCCATACTGTATTTCGAGAAATTAAACAGAATTCCAACATTACGATTACTGCTGTTAAATCTGCACATGAAATCTCTGATGTGAAAGGATCACCAGTAAGTGCAATTATCATCAGGAGAATACAATTCCTATGGATTTCATGGCAGAGCATTAAGAAAAAAAGCCAACAATGAGTAAAAGAAATTGTCACAAATGTTTGTTATTTGCAAAAAGATTCAAAGATGTTCTTTATAATATTAGGAAAATGTATTATTTACTGATGATTGAGGTATTTACATCTCAAAAACATTCAAAAGTTTAGAGGACTACAAATTCTGAACTTCAGTGAAGAATTTAGTGTTTACTATAAAGTATGGTGGAGGATCCCAAATGGTTTGGGGATGTATGTCAGCTTCAGGTGTAGTAGAACTTGCTTTTATAGACTGTAAAACAGATTATTTTGGCTATTTAAACATACCGAAACAAATTTAAACAAAAACATAATTAAATTAGGTCTGTGAAACTCCTGGATCTTTCAGCAAGACAATAATCCAAAAAATATGGCTCAAATTGTGAAGCAATGTCTCCTGCATCAAATATCAAAACAATTATATTTATCACCACAATCACCAGATTTAGATCCAATTGAACATTTATGGGGATAATGAAGAATAAATTGAGAAATGAAAGTTTTACAAGCAAAGACTCACATCTGAAAGTACTGAGAAAGATGTGGAATTTTATTGCAGCTACAAATACAAAAAAACTAGTTCATTCTATGCCAAGAAGACTAAAAGCAGTCATAAAAAGTCAAGATGGACCGACAAAATATTAATTGTTGAGTTTTATTTGCCAGTTGTGCCACCCAGACCCCAAGCAAGCCTTCACTTTCAGATGTATTTAAATTAGGCTGTGGGCATAGGAGTCCTCCCTAGCCAGCACCATGATTAACTGTGTTAGATTATATCTAAATTTAAATACATCTAGAAGCAAAGACTTGCTCAGGGTCTGGGTGGTGCAACTGGCAAGTGCACTGTACGGCATGCAAAGATTGCAGGTTGAGTTTTATGATGGCAAAGTTTGTCAATTTTCTGTTAAATTCAAGTCTATGGAGACTTTTGACTTGTAATTTTTCTTGTTAAGAACATCAGAAAAATTTTTAAAATACAGTAAGACCCCGCTTAATGTGGGGATATGTTCCTACACGACAAAGTGCTAAACGAAACAGTGTTAAACGAGGTCACTTTAACACAGAGCAAATAGGGAAAGGGGAACACACAACCATAGATAAACAGATTTTACTTTAATTTTAAGTTATTTTTATATTAATTTGCATAATAATATATGTTAAATAACACATAAACATATGCACACAGAAATATAAAGTTCATTTTTTGTGATTAAGGTCCTGCCTCTTCTGAAATTCTTGTTTTTTTGTGATAGTCCTGTAGTTTCACTTATTGCTTTCTTTTTATTTCCTTAAGCAAATGTCAGTAGCAGGAGATTGCATCTGAAACTCTTCATTTTGCTTTTGCACTCCTTTCAAAACCTGGATCATTCACTACAATTTGATCAGCAATTTAGGTTATTGTTACCAAACTTTTACTAAGGAAATCTGTAGATAAATTTTTTGGATTCTTCATTTTCAGAGTCATTAGCGAGGTTGCAGCTGAAGTTTTCATCTCTAAAACATGAATGTTGAACATTGAGTGCCGTTTATAAGATAGCTGTGTTCGACATTTGACATTCATGTTTTAGAGATGATAACTTCAGCTGCAACCTTGCTATATTTTCCTGTTCATGAATTCTTTGTTCTGCCTGTTCTTGAAGGTCGTCATTGGTAAGGCTCTCACCAGAAATCTGCAGTAACTCCTCAATATCCTGCTAGTCTACATCTCCTAGTCCTGTTGTATCGATTAGCTTGACAATTTGGTCAACTTAATGATAGTGATAGGCTCTTCTTGTTGAGAATTCTTGGATAACTTCTTCCACACTTCATTCATGCATTTATGAGTTAATTCTTGCCAAGTGAAGTCGATATCACCTATTGCATCCGAGATGTTACATTTTTTCCAAAATTGCACCTAACAAACATAGATTTAAAGAATGTACAGCACTACGACAAATTGCCATCTTTTGTTGATTGGTTCATGTTTGGGAATAATTGTATTATATATGAATCAATGAAATGCTGTGATAATTTGAATCAGTGTAAATTTTTAGTTTTTTAGGCTTCAAGCAGACCACATTATATCGAATCAGTGTTAATCGAGGCAGTATTAAGTGGGGTCTTACTGTATTTAATTTATAATTTTATAAAATATTAGAACATGAGATGTTTGTAAGTATAAATAATGATTTCTATAAAGTAATTATTTCTTTTCTCATAAATAATTTTATTTGCCTTGATTTAATTCTTGAAATTGAAGGTATATGTTTACTTTTGACTCTGACTGTATTTCTAGTAAATGGCAGCAATAAATGGAAATTTTGTTTGTAAAAATATGTCTCTTTAAATCACAAAGTAACAAAACATTTTGCTGTTACTAAGTTCTAAAAACAAAGAATTTTTCTAAAAGTTCAGTAAGTAAAAAAGAATTAGTTGGTATTTAATCTTTAAAGATTGATTTGAATTATTACTACAGTAGAGCATCATTTATCCAAAGGTCGGTTATCTGAAACGTTGGTTATCTGAAGGAATTCCAGTCGACAAATTTAAATTTTTGCCAGTGCTGTGGCGCTGTAATCTTTGGCTATGTCTTCGGCTACTCAAATATTTTACGTTTTTGATACTAAATTAACTTCTGAAGTATAATTTTTTTATTGTTTTTATATTTTTCAATATATTTATTTTATTTGTACAAAATAAAAAAATAATTTTTAACGATACAATAGTCTTCGTTAGGCTTAACATCGACGAAAATTCAACGCAAAGCGACATGCAACGGAGAAAAATTTCAACACGGGATAAATTAATATATTTTTTCGTACATAATTGGTTATCCGAAAAATAAGTTATCCGAACACCCCCAGTCCCCAATTGATTCGGATAAACGATGCTCTACTGTACTATTAATGTTCATATTCTTTAGTATTTATATGAAAATCTAGTTGATTGAATTTTTGCTTTTAGTTAATTTAATATCACTTTTTAAATATATTAATATATATATATTTTTTCTATTTTTAGAGAAAAACTGGAAAATTGGTCATTTTATGGAAAATTAATTTCAGCTGCAAATAACTGTATACAGAAAAACTCATCTTTAATTTGTAGTTTAATAAATGAACATTTATATGCAAATCTTTTCAGATTTTTGCGAAATGCTTCTGCAGGAGTTGCTAATAATCAACAAATTATCTTCAGGTATTTCTAATTAATAATTATAATCATTATTTACAAATTAATTGTATACATCATAACAAAAATAAAAAAAACAGTAACATTTGTTTTATGGATCCTGCAATATTAGATAAAGTATAATACTGCAGCACAGAGGTTGATAAACTGTGGCATGTAGAGCAATTTTTAATAGCATGTAGCAGGTTTTGGATCCACATCATAGAAAAACAAAAAAACTTGAATGGCAAAAAATAACACTTAAATATTACATTCATAGTATTTGATTTCTTACTATTCTCTCAATTAGTTCTATTTCCTTCGGAATTGGCACAAGGTTGCTGTTGAGATCAAATTACACAAGATTTCTTTTTGAGTGGAAAAAGTAGGTTTATTTTCTACGATTTAAAAGGATATGCATTTTGGGTGTAATGCCCATCTTCAATCCAATTTTATTAAATATATCAACAAAAAATTATATAAGAATTTACAGAATGTATTAAAATATATTTAATATACATAGGTGTACTGGAGTAGAAGTTGATTGCTTTTCTGTTATCACATGATTTAATATATTTTTTAAAAGTGATGAAATTATCATATCTTTGTACAGTGATGTCTAAAAAGTTTAACTTGCCATCGTTTTCATTTTCTATTTCAAAGCATATATTGTTCTGGATCTTGTTAGCATATTGAAGTATGATTTGAAGTTGGTTACTTTAATGTTATAAACAAAAAGCAGTCATTTAGTTTCTATTTATAATAGCCCATGATGTTATATGATTTAACAAAAATAATTTTATCTCTACAGGTATACTATCTTATTATTTTAATAATATTTTACTACATTTATTTATTTACTTATTTCTTAATATTGATTTTTTAAATTTTTTTCAGTTTTACTTATTTTACCCAAAGTTTTAATAATTTAGTTATTCCAGTGGTCACTATGATATTTTTTAGGTAATTATATTTATTGAGAAAACTTTTGTATGCATGTTTTAAATATATTTTAATACATTCTGTAAATTCTTATATAATTGTTTGCTGATATATTTAATAAAATAGGACTGAAGTGGGGCATTATGCCCAAAATGCATATCCTTTTAAATCGTAGAAAATAAACCTACTTTTTCCATTCAAAAAGAGTTCCTGTGTGATTTGTTCTCAACAGTAACCTTGTGCTAATTCCGAAGAAAATATAATTACATTCATAATTAATTTCATAACAAACCATCTTCCATTTTTACTGTTATTAGTTTTGTCATACATTTTATCCACTGTACAACTATTTTTAAATTCCACTTATTGTATTAGAATCACTAGAAATTTATTAAACACATCACCTACAGATGAAGCTTTAAGCTTTGTAAAATCTATACATTTATTACATGTAACATGGCTACGGAGAATATATGGGTAATTTCAAAGAGTATCTTCAATTCATTAGTTTTTGATACTTATTTATTACCTGTCACAATTATTCATTGAAGAACAGTATCAAATGCAACAGAAATATGTGAATATTGTTGCATAGTAAATTTGCTTATGTTAAATGATGAAAATATATACTGCATATTCTTTTCTTCAAAATTATGTACTTTTCAGCAAGAAAATTTATTTCTACTGGTATTAATAATAGTAATGTATTAAATGAAATTATTAGTTGAGTGTAGCAAAGCAAAGCTCTATTTATGATGACTCTTATGTCTGTATGACAGTTAACTCCTCCAAAACCATCTAACCAATTTAACTGTTTAACCAATAATTTTTTGCATATAAATAGAATTCACTTCAATCTAAGTCATGACTCAAACAATATTTTAAAATTTGATCTGTGACCAGCGATATACAAGGTTAAAGTTTATAATGTTAAATCTATAGGCAAAGTTAGTGCCAAATTGCACACTTGTCAAACTTCAATGGATTTTTCTGATTACTTAAAAAGTTTCTAGAGATGTTGAAATATGTTATGAAATATAAATCAGCAAATTTTTACATAATTTATTTATTATAAATCAAAAAAAAGAAAAAAAAACCTGAGAAAAATCAATGTACTTTAAAATAATTGAAAATGTCCATTGAAATTTGATGAATAGAGTGAGGTGTTCAGCTCACATGGGCAAACCCAGTTGATGTGGTATTTTTATGGTTTTAAAAATAATTTTGGTGTTTAGTGGCCATTTTGTATTTTTGGTGCAAAGTTTAGTAATTTCCTTCTCAGTATTTTGTTTTCTGTTTTACTTATTTTATAATTGCATTTGCAATGAATGGCTAACATAAATAAAACATAAAAAACATTTTACTATTTTTAAATAGAATTTTCTAAGCTGCATATTGGTTAGTGTTATCAGTTGTGGTTTCATTGGCCACTCCTGATATGTATGATGTATTGTGTTGTAGTTTATATGAAAGTTTTAAATATACTTATTAGATATTATACTGATATATATATATATTTTTCATTAGATAAACTTGTGCATTTATTTAAATTAAAAATTTAATGTATGTAAATTTTGCATGTTTATTTCTAGGTCATACATTTTTCAAGATGCTATTAGTATTTTTGGGAAATTATTAGAATTTCATTTTTCTGGAAAATTTGATTATGCTAAAGGTGAAAAAACTATGAATAGTAAATTTTAATTTAAAAAAATACTTTAATAAGAATTTTTAATTTCCTTTTAAATATAAAATGTTATCTATAATTATTCAAATTACATTTGTAATTAAAGGAGTTTCTAATATATTGTCAATGTTATAAGATTTTAATTATTATAAGTAGACCTGGATTGATAAATTGAAAATAATTTATTTAAATATACAGAATAATTTAGACCACCATCCATTGTTCATATATTTAAAATCATTCAAATTAAAATCAAAATCAATTGTATATAATTAAAATGTTAGTGAGTATCCAAAAACAGCATTAAAAGATTTTTTTAATTTCTAAAAGAATGGAGAGATAAGATAATTTCAGAGTTTTAAATGGAAACATACACTTTTGTTTGAACTTCTGAACTTAGAAAGCTGTTTGTCATACTGAAAAGATGAAATGATGTCTGAGTGTTATAATTATAAAAGTTTAAACTTTTATAATTAAAATATTTTTTAAAAAGTGCCTAAAATATTAAATAAAATTTATTAGGGAATAAGGCATAACTAATTTTATACTCTTCCTCTATTTGCATATTGAATAGTTATTTTTGTCATATTTTAATATGTTTTACAATATAACTCCAATTATCCAGATGCTGATTATCTGGATTGTCAATTATTTAGATTTCTCTTGAACTTTGTTAAAAATAAATAGATATGGATGTATGTAATGCATACATATATATGTACAGTATATATATATATAAAATTATTTTTTATGCATATACAGTATATATAAAAAGTAATTTTTATGTATAAAAAGTAATTTTTATGTGTATACATAAAAGTAATTTTTTCTAAATGTAGAAAATAAACTATATTCATATGTAGGTACATTTCCACATTTAATATTTTATTTACACATAATTATATACATACATGCAAAATGGGGTGTTTGGATAGAAAAAAATGACTATTTTAAGGAAAAATACAGTTATCTAGATTTTCTCAAATCTGGACAACCTGAGGTCTCAGTTAATTTGGATAATTAGAGTTTAACTGAAATACTGAAAAAAGAATGTAATACTAATATACAAAATATTTGAATATTTCATATATTAGTATTACATTCTTTAGTTTTCTAGATTTTACAATAAAATAAAATAAAATCAATTTTTCTCTCTCACTTTGATAGGCAATAAAAATTAATTACTCATATTATATAACTTAAGCTACTAATATTTTTTAAAAATTATTAATAGAATAAAATAATAATAAAATTTTAATATAAATTTAATTGGAATATATAATTTTTTCTTTAGTAAATATGGCATTGCTTTGTGGTTTACAATTTGTTGGTAATCTTGTCTGCCAATATAATGAAGCAAAGGTTGCTGTATGGGAAATATTTTATATTAAATACAAATATTTCAAGTAAGAAGTTTATATTTTATATAATTCATAAATACATTATCTTGTTTAAGTATCATGTAGAATGATTCAGAAATAACTAACTTTAATGAGGACAATTGTTTCTTTTAAAAAAGAAATTATAATATAAAGACTTTAATTTGAGAAATATTGAATAAAATATTAATACAAAAAGTTTTTGCATATGTAATAGTTGGTCAGTTAATAGGAAAAGTATTGATATATTAACAGTAATTTTCAACATACTGTACTATCATTTTCTATAAATTATTTGTACTAAATTCTTTTATCAGCAAACTTTGATCAGGGAAAAAATTGGATGCATTAGGCAAAGTGTTCTCAATATGATGATATATATATATATACCCCTGTGATCAAAATGTATCGGGAATGGTTCAATAAAATGCAAGATTTATTTCATCCAATATACAATTAATCTTTTTCTAATGACAAAGCTAAAAATCAACTGTAAACTCATAGCATTTATTTAAACTAATTTATTTCCAAAGCTTATTTTAGGCTGCAAAAATATTAATACAGTACAAAGTAATGTTTTCATTCCAAACTGAAACGTCCTTAGCTTTAAAAATCCAACAGTGAGAAAATGAAGAATGTCTTTCAAAAGTTAAATCACGATTGAATGTTTTACATAAAATGAAATAACATATCATAACATATCATAACATATCATTACATACATACATACATACATACCTGCATACACCTATAAAGAAACAAACAAATGTTAAATGAAAATAAAAACCTTTCATTAATTTTAGCATGAACTTGAACACAAAATTGCTATAATTTACTATTACATTAATTTATGAGTAAATGTTTTAATTAGTTTCCTCCACTAATATGAGTTGAGTACTTTTTCCCATCTAGTTATCTAGGTTAAGTTGAGTCTTGTGAATTAATGATCTTCAAATACCTTCCCAAAATGTAAATAAGATATTGTGTGACAATTCTGACATATGTACAGTACATCAGATGAATATCTTACTGGGATAAACCACTAAGATTTATCCCAGTGCACTTTGAAACTTTTATCTAATGTCAAATGTGTCTGTGCAGTGTAATTAGATGAATGTTTAAGTAAAGAATTATAGTAATATTTAAGTAAATTGTAATTGATCTAAAGTGGACCCTGCATAGAAAAAATCACTGTCAACTTTGCTCAGTTTAATCGTGTAAACTCTGGCATGATGGATTACCTCAATTGGTTTTTTTATCTGCATGCAGGAGGTTGTGTAATAGAGGGCAAATATTTAATGGTTCACTGTATGCCATTAACATGTGCAAATGGCATTAACAATACAGCATGTATTTGCCAGTTACTATTAACCTATGTGGTGGTTTCTTTGGGATGGATGGTGTTATGCAGCAGATTATCGCTTTAACTTGTGTAAAGAAAGCAAACTTTCACTAGGCCATTTATTACATTAGAAGGGAAGCTATGCTTGCATGCTATGTGAATCACAAATCTGATTTATTGATATCAGTGTATAATGAATGACAAGTGTGTGACTGCTATTTTAAGTAATGTTCTGAATGCAATTAATTTATGTTTGGTAAAATCTAAGAATACAATGTATATACAAGTTAGTGTTTCAAAGTTTCTTGTCCACTTTTGTACAGTATCATCTTTTGACATTATTATTTTATGATAAATTGCATGAAAGTAAACTTCTTAAATGTTACCATATATTTTATGGTAACATCTAAGAAGTGTATTTGCATACTGTTCACTTGATCAACTTCTAGGTTTATGCCTATCACATTGTTATTAATACAGGTATCACTTGCTTAATACAAGATTTAATTAATGCATGAAATTAATTGCAGCAATTCCTTTATATACGAGAGATGTTCAAAAAGTATCAGACCTTTATTTTTCCTGCGTAAACCAATGATGCACAGGAGGTCTCTTTTGGTGGAGTTGTGGAGGGGACAGTTATGCACAGTTCTGAAATTTTTTCTGCCTGCAGGAAGCGTCAATCGCTGGCAGTCAGTCTATGAATGAGGACGTGTAGTGAGCGCTTGTCGGATTCCACTAAGTTGAAAAATGACTGAACAACGTGAACATCGATATTGCATCAAATTTTGCCAAAAGCTTGGCAATACCCAAGTAGAAACCATTCGCAAGATACAGCAGGCTTTCGGGGACAATCCTTGAGGCCAAAAAAAGCACGGCAGGTCCACAGCAATGTCAAGGTCATGTTGACAGTTTTTTTGACTCCTGTGGGGTGGTGTATCTTGTGTATGCACCACAAGGCCAAACCATCGCAAAGGAGTACTACCAGGAGGTCCTTCATCATCTTTGTGATGCTGTGCGATGCAAACGACCGGATCTGTGGTCAACCAAAACTTGGCAGCTCCATCATGATAATGTACCCGGCCATTCTGCGCATCTGATTCAGACTTTCGTCGCTAAACACAACATTCCTGTGGTTTGTCACACTCTGTAATTTTCTGACATGGCTCCGTGTGACTTTTGGCTATTTCCCAAGCTGAAAATGCCGCTAAAAGGAACCCAATTTTAGTCAAGAGAAGACATCATGCGGAATGCGACGGACCGGCTGATGGCTATTCCAAAAGATGCTTTCCAGCAGTGTTTCCAGCAATGGCAGGAGCGCTGGGAGAAGTGTATACATTACCAAGGAGACTACTTTGAAGGGGATTAGGGTTTTGTACCTCAAAATCAATAAATGTATTTTTGCCGACCAAAGGTCTGATACTTTTTGAACACCCCTCATATGCAGCAGAAGTTTTAATTAACCGTGCTAATTAAGGGATACCTGTATCCTGTACAAAATCTAGGAATGAGCTATTGTCTTTCTAGATGATAAACAATTGTCATCATATCTGCAAATCAACTTAATTTTTTGTATGTATTTCTTCACTACAGGGGGTTTCCATCAATATTGCTGCTGCTGCTACTATGTTATTGGATGCTGTGGATCCCATGGGGATCCCTACTTCTTGATAATAATACTTCTTGTTCCATGCAAAATACAAGTTTGAAAGAATATGAACTATATAATCTGTGACTGGTTTGTACAGTATATGTCTTTACTTAAACCTTTCTTGCTGGAAATAGTGGACCTAGTTATAATGATGGCTGCATCTATCCCAATGGATGGAAATAAGCTGTTGTAGTCTACCACAGTGAGAAAATATTGTTTGTTTTACATTTCTGTGTATATACTGTCTACTTGGACCTTGTTTATTAATAAGAAATTATACTGGTGTAATTTCTGATTAGCAAATAGAGGAGATCCTAGTCAAAATAAAATATCTTTATTTTTATTTTTATTTTGACTAGGATCTCAGATCTAGGATCTAGGATCTTAGTCAAAAGTCAAAACAAAATATCTTTATTTTCACCTGACTAAAATATCTTTATTTTTGTCTGATGAAAATAAAGATATTTTGTTTTGACTTTTGACTAAGATCTCCTCTACTTGCTAATCAGAAACTACATCAGTATAATAAGTTCTATTAATAAACAAGGTTCAAGTAGACACTGTTTTACAGTGTCTACTTGAACCTTGTTTATTAATAGAACTTATTATACTGATTTCTGTGTATATACTTGATTTCTGTGTGTATTATACTTGATTTCTGTGTATATACTAAGGACATAGAGGTAAAAAGAATTAATCTTATTTGTTTCTTTACTGGCATATTTATGGCATATGTTGTTTAATTTTACATAAAATGTATAATTGTGAGTTAAATTTTGAAAGATGTTCTTCACATTTTAAAATGTTCCAGTGGAATGAAAATGTTACTTTCCATTAATATTTTGGCTGCCTGAAATAAGCATTGGAAATAAATTAGTTTAAAAATCAAGTCTTTTCATTAGTTGATAGAATATATGTTTGTTTGACTTTTTGTTATAGTGATTTAAAAATTTGTTTTACAATAAGAAATTTAGAGCCATATAATTTTTAGTAGCTAAAAATATTTTAAGTATTGGCTCAATTTTAGAATAAAGATAATTGCGGATAGAAACCATAAAATAGTTTTTTGAATGAATACACTTAAAATAAAAATTCAAATATTTTTAATATTATAGAAATTATCAATAGTATCAAATAAAACATTTCTTTAGAAATCTTTATCATCAAAAGCTAACAATAATATTAGACACATGATGATAAATGTTTATAGATATATACTGTATAATTACTTAGATTATTTTACTAGAGTTCAATCATACAGGCTGAGTTGTATCTATTGTTAGAGATTTGCAATAGGAACATACATCCTAATACATACATAGATGATGATGATGATAATTTGAAACAATAAGTCTTCTTGGATGAAATGAAAAATTGATTAAGAATTGAAATAGATATTACAAAATAAATATTTTTTTTTAGAAGAAAATTCTTAGAAAAATTTTCTATCACCTTCTCTGTTAGTTTTATTATTTAAACAATAAATTTTAAAAATCTATACTCATCTATTTATCTAATTATATATACTTTTTTTATTTTAGCAAATTGCTGTTGATTGAAGATATAAAAATAAAAGAATGTACTGCTATGGTATTTTATAACTGCTTAAGTACTGAATATAAGTTGTCTGTTATTAACAATGGTATTGATATATTAATAAATATTGCCCATTTGCTAACAATCACAGAATGTGAATGGAGGTAATACTTATGATTGTATTAGTGAATTATTACATTAGAAGGGAAGCTATGCTTGCATGCNTTTTTTTAATGAAAGTCTACAGACTCTGTTTCTGTTTTGTTTTATATTTAATATAATTTAAAAGAGCTTTGATTTATTGTTACAAACATCAAAATTATAAAAGATCTAAATAATAAATAAATGTTCAGAAAATAAATAAAATAAAAATCAATTTTTGATAGTTATGTTGTTATAATATATTGCAATATTGACAACTGATTAAATGTAAAAAAAAAAAAAGATATAAAGCATCTGTGCACCTTTTCATGAAATTTTCTTGTATCCCTATAATCCATAAATTGAACAGTTAAAGGATACCTAATTTTCAGTAAGTGTTTGGTAGCAATTTAATTTTCTAAATAATTATAACAACAAAGAATTGTTTCGTTAATCAAATATTATAATGATATGGCTTATCTATACCCTCCATTAGCGTTAATTTTTAATTAATTTAAGTACTATGGATGTGTAGTTGGTCTACAAAAAAGACATGAAAAATAACCAAACTCAACCTTCAGAAATGTATAAATTATCACAAAGTTTATAAAATATTATAGTTAGCTTGTATTTAGAATGTCTTGAATCAGATAGGTTTAAAATTATCTTGTATTTAAAAGAGCTTGTATTTAAGAGCTTGTATTTAGAATGTCTTGAATCATATAGGTTTAAAATTATCTGTTTTGAGAAAATTGCCAATTTAAAATTACATTTGGCTGCCATTATAATTTTTTTGTAGGAAAATATTTTTTCTAATTTAAAAAAATTATTCTTTGACTCTAGTCTGAGGGCACTAAGAGAGCCTTTTAGTAATAACCAACAGTGATTTTGTATACCCACAATTAGGTGCAGTGTATGACATATCTTGACATGTTTACAGTCTCAACTGTTTGGCCACATTGAAAAATATTCATTAACACATTAAATTTTAATATATTAATTTTTGAGTTGCAAAGCACTTAAAAACTTTTGTTTGGTCATGTATTAAATTTTCAAAATTGGATGCATTATTGAGTTAAAGCTAAACAAGTATAAAAAAAGGCGGTTTTTTCTAAATAATAAAAGTCATATACAATGGCAGTTTTTTCCAGCATCCAATGGTCCATAAGACAAAGACAAGTGTAAATAACAAAATGAATTTATTACGAAAAGTTAGGTACAAACATGGTTACTTTTTGATATAATTGCCGTGAAGATTGAGGCATTTATCTAACTGTGGATGAGCTTTGCAATCCCCTCTTCATAGAATGTTGCCACCAATGACTCGAGATGGGCCTTAAAGTTGTTTTTGAAAATCGTCATTAGTCTCAAACCTCTGCCCTCCCAGCCACACTTTTAGTTCAGGAAAGAGGTGGAAGTTGCTTGGTGCTAAATCAGGGCTGGGTGTTTAAAAAGTTCCATGCTAGGTGGAAGACTTCCATGTCTTTCCTGAACTGAAAACTTGGCTAGCAGGGCAGAGGTTTGAGACTAATGATGATCTTCAAAACAATGTTAAGGTCCATCTCAATCACTAGCAGCAACATTCTATAAACAGGGGATTTCAAAGTTCATCCACAGATAGACAAATGCCTCAATCTTCACGGCAATTATGTCGAAAAGTAACCGTGTTTGTACCTAACTTTTGGTAATAAATTCATTTTGTTATTTACGCTTTTCTTTGTTTTATGGATAGGGTTTCTCACTTCTCGGTCTTTTGCTTATCCCAGGATTCCAGGAAAAAGTGAAGTGTTTCTTGGGATCCCACGATATAATTAATTATTTTTAAGATATAAATTAAATCTTAAAATTGAATAATATAATTATTTTTCATTTTTAAGTAATTTAATATGTCCTGCAATCTCTAAAATATTATTGATAATGCTGTGTAAAATATGTATTAAAAATTACTTCTGAATTACATAGAAATTTTCACAAATAAAAAAAGTTTATTAACATTTGTTGGAAGCTGTTTACAACAAAAATGCCTTTGAATTGAGTTGAAAATTTAAAGAAAAAAATGAACCTAGATCAAACTTCTAAGTTAGAAGGTAATTTTTGTTATTTAAATAAAACATATTATAAAAATTTAGAATAATATTTTGTATTAAGATTTAAAAAGCAAAGGTGGTTGATACTCCGATTGCTCAATTTGATTTTTATTTTACTAAAGAAAGGTCCTGCTACCAAGAATGCACTTTTTGATTCAATTGATGTGGGTGGAATTGTCTTTAATGCATTTAAGAGAAGAAGGATGTTATGTGTTTTTTCACCTGTAGCCTGGAAGATTTCTAGTTCATTTTCGAGATGCGTTACAGTACTTCTTTTGCTGTCTAGTATTTTTGATTTGTCTACCTCGGCTGCTTTAATAGCGGCATCGAGCTTATAGTTCAATAATTCGGCAATTCGTTTGGCTTTAATAATCAGGTTTATGAAGAAAAACTTCATACTTGAATACTTCGTACACATCTGTATCCTTGGCCAATTTGCACAACCTGGCATAATGCAGTTATTGAAGCTACTGGGCATGGTTAAATATTAAGACAGCATAAGCACAATTATTCCAGGTTCTGACAAGTAAAGAATTTTCAATCCTGTCACAATAGGCTACATATTGATTATTGACAATCTATGACATGCCACAATAAGCAAAAATTTAAAAAACTAAAATTCAGACTTGAAAATTAATAAATACAAATGTGTTCTGACAGTTTATGAGTTAATTATACTTTCTATTTGCAAAATTTCCTCAACTTTAACACAAAATAAGAAAAAAAGTGAATTTTTAAGAAATTTGTGGGTTATCCCGGGATCCTGTGAGAAATCCTATTTATGGACTATTGGAGGTAGGAAAAAATCCGCCTACATATTTCATCATTACAGATTATCAATAGCTGTGCCTTTCTTCAAATGTTCCAAAGTTGATAAGTATATTATGTAACAGATTGTCAACATATGACTATCAATCAAGAATTACTTTGCAAATCATAATGCAGTTTATCACTTTATTACAAATTCTGCAGTCTGAACAAGTTACCAAGAAAAATATCCAGCTTAAACAAAAATATATTGAAGTCAATCTTGAGTTAATTTTTCTTGTTTGTTTAATAAAGGTAATGTAATACCAAAATTTTTACATGGTTCTATAAATCTGTAAAACAACCAAAATTTAAATTATATTAATAATAAGCAAACAAACAAGGTTATTTTCATGCTATTAGAAGATAGATTAATCAAGAAAATTTAGTCTAAATGTAGATGATTATACTGCCATTTTTTTAACAATATTAATTTTAAATAAATAATTTAGAAAATTTTGGTAAAGAAGATCAAACCAGAATGCATACATTTGGTATGCACATCTTTTGCATACAAAATTTATGCATTTCCAGTTACTTTAGACATCAATGAACTTAATAATGTAACAGTTGTGATAATTTTAACTAAATTATTATTGTACAGTTATGTACTGTACTTGTTACATTATTAGTTAATATTCTTACAAGATGGCAGCATAACCCACCTCCTTTAGGCAAAATTCTTTAGATTAATCTATATTCTTATAGCCTAAAAATAACCCTGCTCTTTGAAATTTATGCTATTCTGGAGTATAAACTTAACAATGTATTGTATGTAACATAACTTCTAACAAATAAGAATTAGTACTTACATAAGGAGCTGAACACATATTCATTAATTGTCTTATTTCTTTAGCTATCATTCGCAATTTCTCAAAATTTACCTTAATAAACAATATAACAAGTTTGGTAAATAATATTTTACATAATGCCACTTATAAGATAATTATTTAAAATAAATTCATACCAAATTATCTACAAATGTGTCATTGCCTAAATGAATAAATGTTAAGTCTTTTTTGACAACTGGATAAAATGGAATCTGGAAAACAAATTAAGTTTTCAGAAAATAAAACAAAATCATATTTATTGTATATTGCAGTCTACTTGTTCTGGATTCATTTTTACAAGAACCTGACTTTATGGTAAAATGTTATAATTTGTTCCCAGTTAAAAGCAGGTAAACTAACGTTTATATTTGTCTTTTTAATTGATTCTCATAATTTTTTCTTATTGTTTTCTAATGTTTGCTAACATTTTATAAAAACTTTAAATACAGGGTTAGTCAAAAGTTAAGAAATACTCAAATATCTTTACATTTAGCTAGCATTAAGCATTTTAATCATTATCATTATGTATTAGACCAGTTAGTATACCTATGTTATATGTTGTCTGAACTTGGCAACACTTTGAAAGCTGTGATTTTGAATACAAGCTGAAAATTTCAAATGGAAAAGTGAGTGATGTTCAAGATACCATCTTTCAAGATATTGCCAAGATCAGGCAACAAATATCTTAGTTATACCCACTGGTCTGATACATCAATATAACCATTGGTCAATATTTCAATAAAAATAAACTATAAATTGTACATATGTGCTTTACAATTTTATAGAATTATAAATTGTTTATGAAAATAGTAATTATTGTTATAGTAATGACATGGCACTGGATCTCAGTTCTTTAATTTTAATGCAAGAGAACTCATGCTATCATATGAATTTATTTAGCTTGCATGATATCTAACAGACAATAATTTTAATATATTTACAAGATTAATTTTTAAATAAATTTTGATAACTGACTGGTTTGCTGGAACAGTTTCCAGCAAACCATTCCTTAATTATAGAATTATAAATTTGTATAAGTGATGTTTTAAAAATATTTCTATATAATTTTACAGCTACATACCAGCAGAATGCCGAAAATCTATCGGGCTAGTTTAATGCTAATTACTAAATAACTTACTAAATGTATATCGGGTTTGGAGATGTTTGTATATAATTTTACACAATTTTAAAAAAAATATGAACATTCACTTTATTCTCTATAAATGTTATAAACTGTTTTATTAAAAATTTAATTATTTATTTTAATTCTTTTGCTGATTTAATAGTATAAATATATGAATGCTAAATTTTGAAAAAAAATCTTAAATTTATGTAGTAATTATCAATATGTACACTTTGTTTTTTGTTGAAAAATTTTTTTGGCATAAAAAATGAAAAATTGAAATAATCATAAGATGAAAACATAAAGTTTGGTAGATTTCAAAGTCCCATTACTGTGATTAGGTGTGGATAAACTGCATATTATTAAATTAGTTTTTTTTTTTTTTAAATCTTTAAATTTTGTGAGAGAATTTTATCATTTCATTTATAAAAATTATAAGTGAAAACAAATATATATTATATAATTTATAAAAATCATTTAAATAGAAATAAATATGTGAAATTTTAGTGTTATTGGTTTAAAACAATATGTGAAATTTTAGTGTTATTGGTTTATATTTTGGTTACTACTGTTATAAAGAAATTAAACTAACTCTTTCTGGATCATCATAATTTGTTTTTTCTTTTAATTCTGTTGTTCTTTAGTAAATAAATTATTTAATTTGTTACAAAATGACTTTTTCTACAGAAATTTCTTTTTTTATGTAGAAAAGTAGCTAGATGAAATCTAGCTAATTTCTATGTAATAAATGATTGAATTTGATACATCATTTAATTGGAAATGAATATTTTACTGTTGCATTAATAACTTATGCATTCAATGGAATAATAAAATATTGATAAATTATTTCATCACAATAACAGTAAATAAAATCTTCATTGTGCACTTTAGATTTTTTCTTGTTTATTTAGAAAATTTTTGTAGTAATATTAAATTTTTTAAAATATAAATATAAATTAAGTAAAATTTATGCATATATGTATAAATATAAGCAAAAATATATTTTTCATTAATCCAGGTTAAAAATAAATTAAAGCTTTCTTGATTAAAGTATTTAAATTATTATTAATATAGTATATTATTATATTTTTATTTTTTATGCAGACTGTTAGTTTTAGATATTATTGCAGAAAAACTTTACACGAATGAAAAGGAAAATGATTTATCAGATAAAATAATATTTTTTATTGGTGACAATTTTAAATACAAAGCCATGGATATTGTAAAAATATGTTCATCACAAGATAATGAATTAGTAAGTTATTAAATATATTAGATTTTTATTTGTTACAAATAAAAAATTTTTATAGTAAAGAAAATTAAAATGAAATTTTTAATAAATAATTATTATTTATTAACACATGAACAATTTTAAATGATGACTTAATGATATACTAATATTTTTTAATAATTTCAGTATAATTTTATATTTAAAGAACTCTAAATATACCTGGTGATCCAGAAGTCCTTTGACATAGCATGGCAGCACAACATAGTAGTACAAATGGCTGCTATGTTATGCCACTATGCTTGCAGTGGCGTGCCGTCATTAGAAGCGGTGGAAGCGCCACTTCCCTTGTATTTTATAAAAAATAAATACATATTAATTTTAATTATATGAAAATAATCACACAATATTTTATTATAACCACATTATGTATCTTATCACAAATTTCTATACTACACGTGAAAAAAATAAGATTGCTATTGTATATTCAAATATTAGTGGCAGAGTGGAATCTCTGTATTGTTAGATTCCAAAAAGCCAGATTTGCGCATGCGCTTTACAGAGCACCAACCTCACCTGGTTTAACCGGTGGAAGCCTACGACCTTGGGTTGATGCTACACATATAACGCTTCCAATTCTATCTGGGACCGGTTCTGGGCTGTTAGCGCCCGCCTGCTAGATATTTGGCCGATTATGTGAATAACAAGTAGATTTATAACTTAACCCAACCTATAAGAATTTACTGGTATGTTTTTACGATAGTTCTGTATAGTTGACAGGAGTTTAAAAAATCCATTAAAATATTTGATATTTTTATTCCGCTCTCCGATTTTATATTACTCACGGATTTCAATGTTAAACCAGTGATATTCCGATTTTGTATATCCCATCTTTAAGGGGATGTAGAAAAAAACGTGTATAATTCTTTTATAATGTTAAAAAATTAACCGTTACTTCGACAGCATCATTTACAAATAAATTTAATGAATGAGAGAGATGCACGAGGTACGGAAAAAGCTCTAGAATTTATTTTCCTTACATTTATGATTTATGTACTGTTTGTCATAAAAATTTGTCTTTCCACTTTTTGCCTGAGACTACAAATATTCGAGTACAAAGTAACTGGTTTTGACTTATTTCTACTTAAGTAGTAGTTAAATAATTAAGCGATTAGGGAATTGGGGATGTAAACAAAACCCTGATGAAAGAGCTGGAATATTACTTAAACCAGTGTTTTTCAACCTGTGGGTTGAGACCCCCAGGGGGTCGCAAAGCCTTACACAGGGGGTCGTGGGTAAAAGAAAAAGACAAGTGTTTGTAGGTCCTACACTACAATAAAAAAACCTACAATTTCAGTGAGAAACCTGTACCTGTTTATTTTACAGTATAATTGGTTTTTCGATCGATATTTAGGTCTCAACAGAAAGAAAGTTAAATACAGTACGTAGTTTTTAAAATCACTGATATAGTTTTAATATGGCCCTGGGGGTTGCCAGAAATTTTTAACTTGTAAAAGGGTCGCATATTCAAGAAGGTTGAAAAACACTGACTTAAACAAAAGCTTAACCGAATCAATCTCTAGCCGAGTACAGTGGGGACTGATTTCTTCGAAATACTATATTAGATGTAATAAAGACAGAAATTTTTCCAGTTCATCGAGAGTGACTGAAAAGTTGTAAAGTTTGGAAATTTCCGTGGACAACACCTGGTCCTAAAACGAATTAGTTAGAAAACAAATGACTATTAAGTTTAACATATTTTTACAGCTATGGTGAGAAACGTTTAAAATCTACAACAGCCCTGTCGCGTCCTTTGAGATATACTAATGATGCAACAAAAGAGGTATTTGACATTGACCGGTATCGGCACACTGGGGATTTGGCAGTCCGCGTGTATGCACGCTCTGCAACTGTCTTCAATTCCATCCATTAGCCACTCGTAGGGAGCTATTTGACTAAGTGCATTGTTCTAAGATTTAAAAAGTAAAGAATATTTTATATTTTTATGTACGTTTCTTTGCAAAGCTATATTTAATTATAATTTTCTTTAAAAGTATATTCATATAATTGAAGAATATTTTGTATGTACCAGTGTAGCTACATGCCTGTTTTTATTATTATTATTATTAGTCTGTATTGTTTTAGTTTAATTTAAATTCTAGAATTTTCCTTCTTTCCGATTTCTGTGTTTCTTTGTCTCGGACTTCTGAGAACTCGCCTCAACCCTAACCCATCAGGGGGTAGCGTTAGAACAAAAGGAGAAAACGAGGCTGGAGGGGAAAAGGAAGAGTTTCTACAAGAGTTTCTTAGGCCGGACTCGGAGAGGGAGAGATGAGTGGCAGCAGGCTCTTGAACGGAAAGTCGAGGAGCGCTGCAGAAGGAGGCCTTAAGAAGCGGATCAGTAGAAGAATCAGGTCGACGATTATAGAGAAAAAACCCCAAAATGGACCCAAGTTGTTCTAAGAGGAGAACAGACGAGAAAGATAAGCCGAGATGAGGAACGGTGGAGAACCAACTGGAAAATTGGGTACCCTTCTGTCCTTTAATTCTTCTCATTTCCCCTTCTACTTTTTCTATTTTTAGTTTAAGTTAGGCTAAGGTTTACGCGTGCAAATAAATTGTCGGGAGGTAGTTATCGAGAAATTAACTACTGATCTATTGATATACCTGGTCACTCAAGATTGTGGAACGATTTGAAGGAGAACAGTGGGAATCCGAACCTATTCTGTATATATATTTCAAATTCAGCGCGAAATTAAACTCGTTTAATTGGTAAAACGTGTATGTGTTTACCTGTCCGCGTTGAACATTTCACACCAGTACATCCACCACATATTTTATTTCATAAAGTAAGTTTTTATTATTTTATTTTTAGTTTTAGCCCTTATATCGTGGCTAGCAATTCAGAATGTTGTGTTATTAAAAATGCATTTAGAGAAGTCTATGGTTTTTACTGGCTTATCGAATAAACGATACGAATGGACCCTAGACCATTGCTGACGCGCAATTGACTGATTGCCCCTGGATGTCGGCTACTTACAGAAACACAGCTTCCCTATCATCAAATGTCACGACACACCCCTATATGCTTGTAAATAAATGTGTATTAATAATAAATAGATGGAAACATCAAAAACTCCCATACTAAATTGAAGAGTGAAAAAACCCAGTTTACTTTTTTTTTAATGCATATTAAAGAAAATTTTACATCCTAGGCATTGCAAATGGCTATGTCAAAGAACTTCTGGTATATATAGTTCCTTAATACAACATAAATAAATGCAAAGAAATATGTGAAAAGAATAAAAAGTCAACAAAAATTCATATATTAAAGTTTTAATGGAGTCTTTCATATTTTATAATTTTATTTAAAAATTAAAACTTGATTAAAAGTATTATAGGAATGTATGTAGTAGTTTTATTGAAATGTAAAATTATTATATCATCATCAACAATTTTAATGTCATCTTCAGAATTTGCTTAAATAAACAAACTTTTTCTAATATAAGATATCATATTTTGAAAAATACTCAAAACTTGATGCCTTGGCATTTGAATTATACATATTTTTAATTATTGTATTATAGTATTATGCTTTTATTTCTTAATAATTAAACTTCTTTCAGAATTCCTTAGAAATTGCAAGAATGTTACTGTTGTTATGTAAAGCTACAGCTGTTCCAAAATTTGACAAAATAAAAGCTGATAGAATTTTATTGGAAACAGCAATAGGTAAGTAAACATTAATGATTTATTTATTTAATATTTTGAATTTTGGATTAGATAATTAATAATAGCAGCTGGATTCAATTTTCAAATCATTGTAAAGTAATTAAACATTTATAAATAATTTTTAATTATGAAAAACATTACAACTGATTCCACATATATTAAAGTTTAAAAAAAAAGCTTTATATAAGTGATTCACAAACTTTTTGAGCCATTGCCCCTTTGGTTTCATAAAGTTATATCTAACTGTACCTCTATGCCCCCTAACCCACTTTTCTTTTTGTGAGAAAGACTTGGAAATATTCATAGAAAAACTTTTCTATGAAACTCACTTTGTGTCCTTACTATATATTATTCTCCATATCTGGAAACCATTAAATGCAATGTTTCTTCTTACCCATTTTAAAAGAGGAAAGGCAAGGTCGTCAGTGACTCAACTTTTGCCTATGGTCACCATTCAGTACCTTGCCTCCAGCACGCCCTGCTACTCGCTTCTTTTCATTCCTCTAGATTTACTCACTGCCCACAGGAGGAACAGTAGCACCCACTTTGGAAATTACTGCTTTATATTATTTACTTTAATTTAAATACAGTAGAACCTCAATTATCCGGACTAATTGGGGATGAAGGTAGTCCAGATAAGGAAAAATCTGGATAATCGAAACAAATACTTTAATTTGTCTTTTATTGATAATACAACACGTTTTCTTTTCGATGACATATCGGTAACATTAAAAGTAAATACTGTATTTANGTTATGAACAAAATTAATAAATTTACATATTATATATTAATATATGATATATATTCTGAAATTCTAATAAGAAATTTAATAGGTTAATAATACGAATCATGTATGATTGACAAGTATGCAAATTTTACAGCTACAGTATATTCTGTATTAAGTTAAATGTATTAAAAAATTATACTATATGAAAAGTTCGTGCGAGTCAATCTGTGAATTCATTCACTAGATAGAGTATTTCATGTTATTTGAATTAACAAATTAACCATGAACAAAATGTTAAAAAAAAATTGTATAAATAAATTAATTAAATTCTACGTATGCTTCTGGTTAAACTAAATTATTTTTCATAATTTATTAAAAAATTAAAACTTTTTCTCAGAATTAGTTTTATTAACAAGTTCGATTTTCTTCTCCACTATTTTATATAAAAGATCTTAGTTTTCTGCCCGTTTTTCGGATGACGAAGTTTGATTGTCTAACTCTAGACTTTACATATTGTAAGATTATGTGAAAGATTTATTCTGTACAATGTACAATACATGATATTTCCTAATTGAAATTCATATGGTTCCCATGAAGCTATAACGCGTTACTGTGTAAACTCATATTAATCACAGTTATTCGATTTTAAATCTAATTTTATACATATAATTTCTATAATATTAGCACCACTGTTATGAAGAAAAATAGAAATTTTGTTATGTAGGCTATAAAAACTTAAATTTAAAATTCAAAAATATCGATAACTGAGTAATTNACATCTCAAAAAGGTTCAAACTGGCCGTATTACTGCTCAGTTTAATGACATTTGCTTAAGTCATTTTAGAAACATTTTAAAAAGTAGGCAAAGCCAAACCTCTTTGGATAGATATTTTACCAAGTGACCTCTATCCAGTGAAAGTGCTGGTGGAAGTGAAGGAAAGAAAGCAAAACCCAGTGAATAAAAAATTTAAAAAAATATATAAAACAGAAAAGTTAAAAAATTAGTGTTAAGTTATTTTTAAGTTATTGTTACATTATGTTATGTAAGTTAAGTTTAGTATTATTTCCCTTCTTCCTCTCCTCCACCACCAGTTTACACCTCCACCATCGTCTATCCTCAAAGGTAAAGTGTAAATAAAACTACATTTTTTTTAATCAATTATTATTCTATTGTGGTTATTTATACATTTACAACTACAAAATGCATTTTTCAGTGTTTTCCTTACTATAGTTATTATTATTTTTTTAATATACTACTTAGCTTTGAGTGTGTTTTAGTGTTGAAACGAATTACAGTAGAACCTCGATTATCCGGATTTTCGATTATCTGGATTGTTCAAAATAAACAAAAATTTTACGAATTTGCTGATTTGCACTTGGCGAATTACGACATTGTTTATGTACGTGATGGAATGCATAACTTTTTTTGTTTCGACAACGTCTCACCCAGCACAGTGGTCATAAACTCTTAAATATATTTTACGTCATAATAAAAATATAACTTGACATACGTATTTATAAATAATTTATATTCAAGTTACATCATTTCTATGACCAAGGGCGGCATAAAGCGTGGGCCACCACCTATGCCTCGCAGTTCGAAGGGCTTCGTGCCTCGAAGGTTTATGCATTACTTAAAAGCCGCGAACGCGACGAAAAAATTTTACTCGTCAGAAAACGACAAATAGTTTGTCAAATTTTTATTCACAAAAATGCAGTTTCAACTGCTATTTATTTTATAAAATCCGTCTTCTTGAGCCACCAGAGGGCCTTTTAAACAATAGCTAGTCTGTTAGTGCTGGTCAATAGTAGACCAAATTCAATACGAACGTTTGTTTCTTGAAAATTTGATCACGATTTAAATAAAGTATTTATTTTTAATATTACTGATATGTCATTGAAAAGAAAACGTGTTGTATTATCATTAAAAGACAAATTAAAGTATTTGTTTCGATTATCCGGATTTTTCCTTATCTGGATTACCTTCATCCCCAATTAGTCCGGATAATCGAGGTTCTACTGTATTTGGTTTTACATGTAATCGTATGGGAAAAATGATTCACCTTACGACATTTTCATGATACGATCTCTGTTTCGAAACGGATTAATTTCATATCCTGAGGTACCACTGTAATTTCATCTTGTTTTTAGTCATGATATTCTAAATCTACAAAATTTTTCAAGACAATATTTAACATTCAGTTAAGATATGTACAGGGATAGTCATAAAGTAATTTGACCAACTAGCAATTATCTCAGAACTGTGGAAAGTAAGGGCAGTTTAAACTTTTGCAGGATAAGTACAGGGTGACATGTTCTTGTTATATACAAGATTCTGCGTGACAAAAACAACAAAAGGCATTGGAATGGTGTGTGTAGAACAAAAAAAAACAAGAGATATCAGTAATTGAACAATGGAAAACAAATGTAAACAAAGCAGGAAATGGGAAAATGCATGCTTTGTCTGAATTCCACTCAACAGATGCTTTTATACCCCACAGCTTCAGCTAGTACTGCTGCCGCCTCATCTGCAAATCTGTACAGGTCTTCTGTCACAGGTGTTGGCTCACTTGCTTCCCATTGTTCATATACTGATATCTCTGTTGTTTTTTGTTCTACACACACTGTTCTAATGCCTTATGTTATTTTCTGTCATGCAGAATTTTGTGATATCATGAATTCCCAGTTACTTTATGACTACCCTGTATATATAAATACACATAAATACAAAATGTTCATTTCATAAAATGTTTAATCAGAAATTTTATTTTCCACAGATATTTTGAAAACAGTTCATCTTTTAGGAAAATCAGAAAATAATGTATTTTCACCAGTTTCAAGTTTAAGAGTTGAAGCATTAACTGAGGATTCTGAATCACATTCTACTTGTGGATTTAAAAGGAATTTAATACGACTTATTGCCAATATGTGTTCAGAAAATCAAATAAATCAAAATGTAGTAAGTATTTTATAAACATTTGCTATTATTACTAACATCTTAATTGCTTTTATTAATGTAATATGTTTGTTTGACAGACCTCTTGTTTAAAACATTTTAATTTTAATAACAGCATTTGGCATTAATTCTTTTAGAAATGAATACAAATAAATTTAATAATTTTGTCCTGTTTATAAATTTTAAAAAATTCTATTTTTATAAAAACAATCATTTAAAAAATCATTAAAAGTTACTTGTATGCAAAAGAATCATGTGATAACATATGTTTATCTGAACATTTGATACTTCTATAACATCTACACAATCATAGGTATAAGAGTGTTTTTGATACTGATGCTAATATAGTTACAAATTTTATCAATTTAATATACATGAAAATAAACACAAGGCTTAATACATGTGTGTTAATTCTTAGAAATTTTTTTTATTAAGATGAAGTTAGAGACAGTTTTAAGAAATCAAAGTACTATACAATAAGAATAAATGTGAATTCTTTGATGAAAACTTTCATTAATAATTTGGAATAAGAATCAAATAATGAGTAATTGTTTTATCATAAAATACTGATTTCATTATCTTATTTCATTGAATAATCTTATAAACTTTGTTTATTTTAAATCTACAGATTGTTTAAATGATTAAGAAACATTTTAAAAATCATGAACATTTGATTTCTAAACAATGTCAAATTATCTTGTATATTTATAACTAAGATTGAACAGTATGGAAGAGAAGAATATGTTTTTCACAATAAATGAAATTAATACAGGTATTCTCTGAAGAATGTCTCTCTATTTGTTTTTCTGGTGAGAGCGTATGTATCTCTCAACACAATGTTTTTCAGCTGATGATGTAAATAAAAATTTCTGTAATATAAACATTACATTTTTAACAAAATGATGAACAGAGAAAGTCTTAAGTTATGTTTCCAATACAATTAGTAGACCTTCAGAATCACACAGATGTACAAAATATACATAATTTTTTTTTATTGATACACAACATACAGTAGACCCCCCCTATAAGAGTGTTGATAATTCCGTTTTATATAAATTCCATGTTGTACGAGTCACTTAGATTTTACAAAAACGTGTGCCGGGCTCACATTTATATAAAACGGAATTATCAACACTCTTATAGGGGGTCTACTGTATTTTGATTGTTGCTGATGCTGGGAGAAGTAAGAATCTCACCAATAGCATAGCAGTTGTATAATAGAAAACTTACCATACTTTCTTGATACCTCTAAACGGCAATCAATTCAATGGTTTACAGAAGTGTTGGAGACATCAAAGAATAAATTGCAACACATTTTTTGAAATTCTGATATTGTTTGAAACCAGATAACAAAGTAAATTTATATAAAGACTATTTTAGCAAGTTATGTGTAGTTCTCACAAATCCACAAAATTGTTGTTTCACACAGTATTTATCAATTTTGTTGTTTTCAAAAAAAAAACTTAGAAGGGAATCTCCACACTCGTTCTCCAAAGTCCAATTCTCTTGAACTCCTGGATTCAAATCCTATTGCAAGGCTATGTGATCTCAATCAAATCTTGCCTTTCCTCAGAATATCACGAAAAAAATGATTTTGAATTTAAAAATCATTTTTGTATGCATTTTTTAAAATTTTTATTGTAAATTTTTTATATATTTATTAGAAAAAATCTCTTTACTGCTGAGTGTTATTTGCTCTGCTGTATCATAAATGTGTGCAATGTTATTGTATATAAAGTAACTGTTTGTTAATGTGATATTGTTTATTGATCAGAAAGCAATGTTTAAATCATCATGATAATTTATTAATTATGAGTTGATGTTTTATTGTATTTTAGTTACATTTTAGAAAATTGATTGGGCTTTTGGATTGTCACCATAACTCAGTATAGTGTTTTCTTTTAAAATTATGAACTCTCAGTGTTTTCCTGCAGAACATCTGATTTTTAGGATGGATTACTGATGTTAAATGGGATGCCTGTATTTTCTTTTACAATCATACAATATAATTAATAATATATTCATAAATTCTTTATTTATGTTTATATCTTTCACACAATTTTATAGACAATTGACAAAATAAACAAATATGATGAATGTATAAGTCAATGATACAAATAAAAATCCATTGAAATTGTACTTTTTTTAATGAAGTGTAGGACCTACAAACACTTGTCTTTTTCTTTTTCTAAAAATCCATTTCATATGAAGTGTTTATTTGTTGTATACAGTTTTAATTTACAATTAATTATTATTTTTGTAATAATCTAAAAAGTAAATAATTGTTCCTAAAAAACTTTTGTGTTAAGATGAGCAAAATTTAAAAAGTTTTTATCTATTGATAGATGCATACCCAAATTCATAGAGTGCTTGATATGCCCATGAAAACCATTTTACAGACCACACATTACAAATACATAAAATATAATGAAATAAAAGAATTCATTGTTCTTATATTTAACTTTTTCTTTTTTTGTACATNGGTGAGAAGATAATGGGGTCATGAGTACTTCCAGAAGGGTCGGACTTAACTCGTTATTAGTCCGAAAATTTTATAAAATTCTATTTTTATAATTTACAATTTTTTTTATAAAACTCATCCCTTTCTCAAAATTAAGTTTTTTGCCATTTTATAATAGTTAAAAATATATAAATTTTAAAAATAAAATATGATAACAGATGGTGCCACCAAATGTCTCCGGAAAAGTTAAGCAACTGGATATTTTTTTTTTGTTGAAAACAATCGAGTTAAAATTTGAAGTATTCTGAACTTTTAGTGTTCTTCACCGACATTGTAAATTATACAAATGATTTTTGCTAATATACAGGAATCCGAAACATAAAAATAATGATATCAAAAAGTAATCCTGTGTTCTCTTCACACTTTTATCACAGATGTTACAAGGCTTTGTTTTTGTTTTCATTATTTCGGATTTTCATCACAATACTCTTAATTTTAGTAGTTAGTGGCTTGCTCCTGTACATCATACTTTTCCTTTAATAACAAAGTCGTGCAGGCCTATCTAACATCTTTCGGAGGAAAAATTTTTGAATTGAAGTAACGTGACTTCCGATTTGCATTGCAAGTTTGTATATTGTTAATCAGGACCATTCGCCCCTAATGTTTCCATATCTGGTTTCATGTTTCATCGATCTAACTCCATTCTGGAGATTAAGGAAAGACAGATAGACATATGGATGGACAACAGTAGGAATTTATAGGTCTACAGTTTTTCCAAATTTCTGCCCAAAAAGTTTCTTGTTATTTCGTTATATTAATTGGAACGAAACACTCATTAAATATTTAATTATTCACGAACTTTTCGTGCTTTTAAAGTTTTCACGAACTTTTTGTGCTGCTGAATCAAGTTATCATTCATCTTATCAGATGTTAGATTAAATTATATTTCGCAATAACTTTCTTTGTCGTATATACAAGTGAAATTATATAATAAATATAGGTTTAATTAAGTAAATTTCGCGTTTAATAACGAAATCCAATATATTAACCCATACGAAATCCAATATATTAATTTATAATTTATCTTAAATTCGTATAAAATATTTTTATTTTACATTTTTCATTCTTTAACACAATTAATTAATTATTTATTATGCACGAATCTAATTAAGTAATAAATGTTTTAACATTATTTAAAAAAATTTTTAAAAATCCATTAAAAAGGTGACGATTTTGACAATGTTTACCAAACGTGAGATGTCGCTTTAAACGCGATAACAACAAAGTGGGTTTAATTCTGACTCTTCGGAGGGAGGAGATGCTGAAATGGTCACGTAAATCAATTATTTAATGTTGATTTTTATATTATTCGCAAACGAAATTTGTATATTCTGACAATCGTAAGGTAGATAGATATAAAATTAATAGAACATGAATGGGGAACCTTCTGATGGAGATTGTTACCCAAATGTGGAATCAAATTTAGATATTCCCTTTTCACATACATGCAGTAAGTATTTTCTTTCATATAATTCATTTCTTATAGTTATATAACAGCTTTGATGATGGCTACTGTTAAATGGTTTTATAATATTGTCAAAAGATGATTGCTTGTAGGAAAAATTTCACAATTTCCTCAATTTAATCAATTTTTAATGTTTCTAACACAGTTTCAAAATATTATTGTTATTAAATGGTTGAATGGAAATTTTATAATTCTAAATACAAGTAGGTAATTGAATACAGCATCAAATTAAACATACACATATATAGATTAATCATTAATTTAAAATGAGAACATTATTTATATTTTTAAAATATGAATGTAGTGTATGTTTTTATTTAATTTTGTAATCATTTATGAAAATTAACAATTGATAGGGCTAATGAACTTAAATTAATTCTAAAGGTTTAGTTTTTGGAATATGTTATTAAAAATCATGAGTTAAGATTTCATCCAGAGCTAAATATATATTTTATCTGATTTTGGCTTCTTTTAGTTTTTCTTTCTGAATTTAAATGTTAAAAGTTGAAATATTGCTTATTAAGAAAAGCAGCTATTCAGTTAATATATATATATTAATATTTGTGTTTATGAAGCAGTGTTTTAAAGAAAGATTTTTATCAAGGTTACAAATTATAGTATTATAATTTGTAGACCTGAATAATTTGTGAAGAAAGTAATACAGATATCCTATGCTTAATACCAGTATTGTTTCTTGAAAATCAGTTTCTTGAAAGTAGGAGAATGTTAAGAAGGAGTTTATTTTCCATTTTTTTAAATGGGAAAAATTATAATACATTATAATGTCAATCCAAAACTCTCAAGAAATCCTCCAACTAACTAATTTTTGAAAAATATAATAGAAACACAATACAGCTTCTATATATAAATTTAAAAACTAATATATTAGAATATAAAATGCTTAATATATCACTTTTTAATCATCAAATATTTAATATAGTTCTAAACAAACAGTTATTTTATGTGCCATAACATGTATTACATAAACTATACAATATACTGTACATGCTATAGATTGCTATACTATAAACATAATGTTTATAAAGTGTAGCATTTTTTAAAATATAAATTTCTTGGCTTTTTTTCAATAACTTACATCACACAATGAATTACTGAAAAAAAAAAATGCAAAAAATTTAAGGTTTTAAAAAATTCACAGAAATTAGTAACAGAAACAATCAATTAAAGTGTAACATGGCAAATAATACATAGCACTGAAGAGATTTGTTTTAAAAAAATTCAAACAAATATTTACAATGAAAAACTCAAAGAAAAAATTAAAATACATTCTCAGCAATGTCTCTGATACTTCTATAAATTGGAGAATTGACTATTGATAATGAGTCATAAAAGTGTATTTACCCTAAATACACTAAATACACTTTTATGACTCATTTTTGAGGGATAGTTCCATAGGAGGTGTTGGTATGACAGAAAGCCTATGACAGTTCTGTCATACCAACACCTCCTATGGAACTACTAACACCTCATTTTGAGCATCACTGGTGCTAGAAAATGTATCATGGCATAATATCATACCAACACCTCCTATGACAGAAAAGATAGTGGTATGATATTATTCCATGATACATTTTCTAGCACCGGTGATAGTCAAAATGCATATTTTATTTCTTGACACTCAGATTATTATTGAAAGCGTCTACATATGATTTTCATATTCTAATCAATCGTATTTGGCATGTAACTTGAGACCTTTCCTGTATATTGCTTTGTTAAAGACCTTGTATTAAATTTTTCAGACATAAATACAAACTTTTCTTATAAAAACATCACTGAAAAACTGTATTGAGAAATGTGTTTGCTGTATGTAATTGGATATTAAAAACAAAAAGATATTCTACCAAAAAATGTTAAGTAGAAAGTTAAGAGGGGATGTTTGTAATTGGACTGCAATTTGAAAAAAATTGTAGACCTATAAATTGCCACTGTTGTTCATCCATCTGTTGGTTTGTCTTACCTTATTCTCAAGAATGGAGTTAGATAGATGAAAGACAAGACCAGATATGGAAACCTTAGGGGAAAGAGGCCCTGATTAACTATTAATATAAACAAACTTCTGATGCAAACTGAAAGTCACATTATTTCAATTCAAATCTTTTCCCCTGAAAGCAGTTAATAGATGACCAACATGACTTTTATTGTTAAAGGAAAAGTATGATGTACAGTACAGGAGCAAGACACTACAGTACTAATTTAAGGTGGAGAGCATATATTTTAAATTATTTGTTTATTTAAAATTTTCAAAATGGTTACCGTTTTGTAAATATTATCCCTAATTTATTACTCTAATAAATCGAACTCTGCGGTATTATTTGGATCTGTCGACTGCAGAGATCGCAAACTGGCTGCCATCCGACCCGTTAAAGCTTCGTATCCGGTTCCTTTTCTAAAACTCAATGTTTTTAACATCTTGCGGGGATTAAAACAGAAAAAATTCAAACGTCTAACTGNTATTTTCATAAAAGTAAATTTTTTCTATTTGTTGATTGTTAACATTGTTTTTCACCTCTACAATGTACTTTTTGTGCTTGTTGTTTATTTCTAAATTAATGTTATCAACAAATTAGTCTAATTTCTAAATCAATGTTAATCAAGTGAAGGATAAATAAATTTTTTCTGAAAAATATTTATGTCAAGTAGTTTACATGAGGAAAATTTGAGAACTGTTTATTTTTAGTATAAAAGGAATTTTTGAAAAACAATTTTTTTAATGTCATATGTAAAATAATTATTACTGATCCTTAAAATACCAACACTAAGCAGGCACACACAAACAGTAACAAAAGAACTTTATTAAAATTAGATCAGAGCTGTTGTCTACATCCTCAGGCTACACCCGGGGATGAACTCAATGAACTTTTGTGCCTTTTTTTCTTTTTATATCCATTGCCAGGCAACAACTCGTTAGAAGTGTTGCCAGACCGTGTTCATGATCTCTGGTGCTGGTGGCCACAATCTAATGAAACATTTGAAAAATTTTCAGAATATCTTCTTATTGATATTGTTAATACTTTTATGATTTAATATCATGTGGCATAGTCACAGTATATTGCCTAAAAGTTGATTGATATATTAATATTTTTCAGAATTTAAAATGTCATTTAAGTGAATTTTATTTTCTTTTGCTTCTTTACATTTTGAGTATATTAAAAATTTTTGTAAATAAGAAAAATAATATGAGAAACTGCAGTATTTTTATTTTTACATAAAAATATGAATCAATGTTTTTATTGTAAGTTTCTCAGCATTTATAGATCTTACATTGAGTCCCAAGGAGATCTACATGAGTTAATTCTATGACCTGAAAATTTCTACTTGCTTGAACTGAATGATTCATTTAAAACAGGAATTTTTGTAAATTTAGCATTATTCAGCTATTTGGATCTCAACCTACATACTTTATTGAAAAATATTATCATCATTATGATTTTTATCCGAATTATTAGATGTGCTGTCAGAACTATCATATTGATTTGAACTACTTTCATTTCAAAAATAGTTAATTTACTTACCACTTCTGTCATGGTTGTTATACACACTAAATAAAGATATTAAAATTTATTTTTTGATAGTTTTTTCCATTTATTAGTGATAAATGAAATACAGTAATACCTCGACTTATGTTACCCCAACTTACGCGAACCCGGAGTTATGCGATTTTCAAATATCATCGATTCACCTTTTATTTGAGCACCATGCAACTCTTGATTACTCACTCCTCCCACACTATTGTTCAGCTTACATGTTCAGACATGTCGTGCAGAATCGACGCATATCTACAATTTATTTTGTGTTATTTATTTCTGTGTTTGTTATATCTATGGAGACTTGAGAGACTCTATGTGGTGATTTCTTGTAACCATGAACGAATCAAAAGATGAGATAAGATTAACGAGAACATTTATTAGCTTACATACATCTGACTTGGATTTTATACAAATTGCGAAATTATACCCAGACTTACGCGAATTCGACTTACGCGGTTATCGCTCGGTCCCACCTGTCGTCTAAGTTTGGGGTATTACTGAAATTTATATTGCAAAGTTTATGAAGTTTTTTTATTATCATCATAAACATAAGCATACAACAATAAATAAATAAATCATAAGAGTAAAAAGTTTCTTCAAAGCAAAACATATAATAAAATCTCTATATAGCAATTTTCATTATAACATCAAATCCCTCTATAATGATAATAAAAATAGTTTCCTATGCAATTCATATTAAGTTAATGTAAAACTTTTCCCAATTGAACAATATACTCTACTATGATAAATCTCTGTTTAGCAAATAATTTTTTTTTTTACTGTATTTGTAAAATTATGTAATATTTTCCTTTCTCTACAGTGATGATAATGCAGTAAATTAAATTTTAATTAATTTTGATTTATTGCTTCTTTCTGAAATCAAAATATGGTACTATCTTAATATAGCAATATTACCATGAACATTAACTGCAGTTAGTAAGTTAGTAGGTGTCAGTTCAGATGAAAGTAGGGTTGCCATATTTAATGTTTTTGTCTTTTAATGCCTAAAAGCCTCTTTTACTTTTAGAATTGGTTGTAATTTGAAACACAAAAATTTCTATATAATTTTTAGTTAAATTTTCTTATGTTAAGCTCATTTAACATAATAAAGTTCTCTTGGAAAGTGTTGTGAATCAGAGATATCTTAGTGTTGCAAATTACACTTATAATTAAACAAAATATTCTCTTTAAGAAATTATATTTTAGAATTAGTTTTAGTTTTACTTTTTTTTTTACTTCATTTTTAACTAGGAAGATTGAGCTTCTGACTGATTTTGAATTTTGATGTTTAACATATACAGTGAAATTTCATTAACAAGGCATCCAGTATGCAGAAAACCTGATAAGGTAGCATGTTGAACTTGTTATTGGGGCATTATTGATGCACTGGGTAGGTCTAGAGTTAAGATTTTTGTGTAAAAGTGCTCAAAATGTGCAGTTTTTGAAAAGGGGTGTGGGTTCTCCTTTTAGAGATTACAAATGCCAAGATGGCATAATGCTGTGCTAGGTAAACCAGTTAGCTCATGCATGATTTTTCTAAAGACTTTTCCAAAGACATTAGTTCATAAGTTTGTTATGAGAAGGAAAAATATTTACTACATTTGGAAACAATAATTATTACAAAGACAGCTACAGTACATTACTGTTTATGTACTTCAAAAATTAAAGTTTGTCTGTATTTATATATAATAAAAGTGAACAAAGCACAAAGTAAGAATAGAGTATTTTTGTCCAAGCAAGTCAAGGGTAGGAATAGCCAGGAAAAATTAAAATGCTAAACTATCATAAAAGATGGATTTGTATAGTTTTACATGTGAAGATATGTAAAACTGTGTCCAAGGAATCAAAAAACAGGAAAAATGTTCTACTGTTTGTTAAGATGGCATATTTGATAACCCAACACCACATTGGTCCTGATTATGCTGGGTTAACAGAATGTCACTGTACTCTAGAAATAATATGCAATAAAATCTCCTAAACCTTGTACGAGATGAGATAGAACAGAAAAATGTAGTATTATTAACTTTGTAGAAATAATCCTATTTGCAGTTCAATAATGTTAATTGAGCAGAAAGATGATTTATTAAAAACTCTCATTATAGCAGTCTTTCTACAACAGTATTTTTTCTTGTTATTTTAAATATTGCTATAGAGGAATTTGAGTGTATATAAAATACTAAATAAAGCTATTACACTCAATTATGAATAAAATATCTCAGGAATATAATAATATGATGATTAAATTAACAAAAATTCTGATGCTAATCAGTTTTAATATGAAGGGGTGTTAGGATTCTGTTATAATTACATGCAAAATTGAATGATGGTAAATGACATAATTGTATTGTAAAAATACACAAAAATTAAAATTTTTATTCTGTTCTGACTTATTGAGGATAAAAACCTTAAACTTTAAAACATTATAACATTAATGCAGTAAAAGTAAAAAATATAAAGGAAAGCAAATCCAAATGAAGAAAAATACTTTTAAGTAAGCCAATAATAACTCTAATTTTCTGAATTTGGATTCACTTTCCTTTTATATTTTTTACTTTTACTGCATTAATGTTATAATGTTTTAAAGTTTAAGGTTTTTATCCTCAATAAGTCAGAACAGAATAAAAATTTTAATTTTTGTGTATTTTTACAATACAATTACTGTATGTTATTGATATAGAAATCCAATCCCATCATTTTAAATTAATTTTATATATGAATGATGGTAATCTGTAAAACTTTATATTTTGGAATAAACCTGATGACACAATTAAATTTGAGAATAGAGTTCAGAAAATTCAGTTTGGAGAGTTTGATGGAAAACAAAATGAAAAGCATAGCTTTGTTATTAAAGCTTGTTATTAAAAAATCAATATATTAATAATAATATATTGATTTTTTAATAACAAAGCTTTAAAGGTTTTAGGCCAACTGTATTATATCTAATTATTCTATAATAATGAATGAGTAAACTATAAAAATCTGATTTATATTTTGCAATATCAAGAATTATATACTGTATTATATTAATTTTGGGGTCATCCATAAATGATGTCATGCTAAAATTCCACATTTTAATCCCTCTCCCTCCCTTGTCATTTATAGTCACATTATGACAAAGCCCTCCTCACAAATGATGTCACATTGGTTGTTATCTTTCTTTCCTTGGCAAAGCCTTTGTATTATTTGACATAAATATACTGTGTCAATTACATAATGGATATTAATATAAAATGATTTATTTACACATTTATCAAAATAAAACACTACATGACAACAGCATTATAGTTATAAAAATTTTCATTACAACTTGCTAGAAAGTTACTGTATTTACTTGCCTGAGTTTGTAAGATGTTCTTCAATTGACACAATGGAAATGTTGGAGGTATTTGTGTCCATGGAAATGCATAGTTCTATCATGTCTATGTCATTAACATCATCTATTCAGCATTACATTTCCAAATAAAGTATTCAAACAAATTCAAAAGTTGTTTTTCCAATCCATGAGATGCACTTCAGTCTACAAATTTAGAAAACATTATTGAGTTCAATATAGATGAACAGATAATAGATTAACTGTATTAAACAGAGACCAAAACTAATAATAATAATAATATAAAGTTGTAAACTATAAAGTGTTGCAAACATAAAATCAGATAGAGATGTTACATTTCAGATTTCCGTGCCTTGAGCCTGAAGAGGGATTGAAAAAAGTTACGAATCTGAAATGCACAGTTAAAGGCAATAGAAAAATTTATTAGTAGTCTTGGTCTCTGTTTAATTTGGATAGTTAGAGAAGTGTGATAAATGTTTTCTGTATATTTCATAGACAAATTGAACAATCTGGCCCATTGTAAAGAGTGCTATCATTTTACAATGAGTCTGGCAAATTGAAAAATCATCTAAGTTATCATATGTTTGCTACTCAGCCTGACATTTCTCGGCATTTGCAATCAGCCCATACAGCTTTAGGCAATTAATGAAGTGAACTTCTTCATTTAGTTAGCCTAATTGATTCTGGGCTTATTGTAGTGAGACTTCTCTGCAGCAGGCTTATTGAAAAATGTGCAAAAATTCATAATGCAAAAATATTATTTATCAAATTGGAACAGAGGATGGCATAATTAAGACCTGATTCAATAGAAGTGATTTCCAGATTTCTGGTATACAAATTCTTAAAGACATCCCAGAAATATATGTATTTCTACATGAAGCTGTGGCAAAAGTATCAAAGTTGGGAGACCAGAATTTGCCAGTTGTAAGTGTCAAAAAAAAAAAAAAAGTTATCAAGAAGGTGCTGTAGCATCATAAGCACCTTCTAGAAATGCTCCTGAATTAAAAAGTCATTTGTAACATAAGTAGTGAGAATGCTATGATGTTAAACACTGTTATAATCACAAAGGTTGTATTAATCACTTTAATTGGACAATGAGACAAATTATTAGGAAACTACATGGTTTTTATGAAAAATTTGATGATAAAAATATTATAGTTTGATAAAGCATGGTTGGTTTTAAATAAAAATATATATTTTTTTTTCACATGACCTTAAATNAAACAACCAATTGGTTTGGTTTTGTCTTCTGTCATTTTTGATGAGTTACAGTTTGTTTTGTACTATTTTGAGAAGTGTTAAAGAATTAAAGAAAAAATGAATTAATGAAATTATTTTCCTATTTATATTCAGATTGAAATTGAATTTATAATTGAAGAAACATGTCATCAGCTGCCAAAATATAAATATTTCACATAAATTATTCTACATGAATATGATAGCACAGGGGGGAGTTTACACTTTGGGGATGCCCACCCCCTCATTTGGAGCTAGAATCTTACCTAACTTATCTGTTTAAATGTGTGCTTAGTATTATCACTAAGATAACAAAAAAATTGTAAAAAATATTCTTCAAATATTCAACAAATATATATCTCATAATGATTAAGTTATTTGATTTCATTTTCAAGTGATTTATGTTTGATATTATATATTAATTCAATTTTTAATATTTGATTACTAAAGGCCAGCCCTAGGAATTTTGTCTCTCCATGCAAAATCATATCTTGTATTTCCAACCCAATCTCAAATTAGTGTTTGAAATTTTAAAAACTATTATGTTAAACAAGTTTTTTGCCCCCTGTGCAAATCAAAGGTTACAAACTTTACATTGTCCTGTGAAAATTCACATTTAATAATCATAGGGCTCTATCTCAATCAGTTTGTGAGCCAGGGGTCTGTGATTACCAAATATGAATGAAAATATTAATCTTTTGAAATCACAAACTATCTTTTAAAACAAAAATTAATGTTTGAATTGTATTGAATATAGATATTCTAGAATTTTGTATATTTGGTCTTAATTAATATAGAAGTAAACTGGTAACATTTTGTTTTTATAATCTCTAGAAAAAATTTATTTATTTCATAATGAAGTGTTTAATGTAATATTTATGAAGATTAAATTAAATTGAGCAGATAAAAACATCATAATGTAAATAAATCTAATGTAATTTTATTTATTAGAGGATAACATTGAACTTGGTCTGTTTGAATGAATAATAAAATATGTTTAATTCTTAATTTAATTTTAATTTCATATATTTTTTTAATTCTATTATATAAGATTTTTATTTTTTAATACATTTTATTTTATTAAATAAAACAATCTTAAGAAAAAAACATGTTAAATTTTTCAGTTATGTGATATTTTAATGCTGTTAACTGGATTACATTCTTACACAATCATACTTTCAATCCAACAAATAAAATTTGTTTAATTAGCTGTTATCGCCCATTAAAATGTCTTCCACACAGAATGAGTTTGAATTGTTGTTAGATTTGCATTTAATATTTGTTTTTTCAAATTAAAATTATAAATTAAACAATTATAGAGATTTAAGTTTTTCGTTATTATCTGTTAGATATAAGTTCTACTTATATAATAAAATTTTATCATTTAAATGCAAATATATTGATTATTAGACTATTAAGTATTAATTTTTTTCATTGTTGCTAATTTTTTAAAATTTTTTACATGATGTTTTATAATTTGTTTGTAGGTTTTTTAGAAAACTAGGGAGTTTGTAAATGTTTGGTGTTTATTAAATAATTTTTAAATTATGTTTAGAATACTAATTGATATATGTAAATAAATAACTTTTTCCAGCCACTTTAAGAAAAAATTTTTCTGAGAAATATTTAAAATATTTCAGATGCATCTCATTTTACTCAAGAAGAAAATAATTCTTTAAATTACACAGAATTACAATCAGCTGTTGATGATACTTCTACTGAATCCATAGCCCATATATGGCAAATGAATTATCATGAATCTGCTATTTACTTGGAGGTAATTATTTAAATCTTTTATTTAAAAATTCTGTAATCTGTAGCTCTACAATATATTAGTTAAATTTGTTGCTATAAGTAAAATAGATATATTTCATGTATAGTCAGATTTCTGTTTAGCAAAGTTTCTGATGAAATGCAATCTTGAATGAATTTTTATATAAAGTAAATATTGCTTTAATTTTATAAACTTTTAAATGATTTTCTTTAAAATAATTTTTTATAAAATTGAAGCATTAAGCTTTAATTTGATTAATAAAATTCATTAAATACAATACTGGTCTGTTTAAAAATTTAAATTTAATTAACTACTTAATTAAATTCAATAAATACATTAAATAAACACCTCATAAAACTGGATGAAGTTTAAATTAACACACATCAACACAAAAAAATCTAGCAAAATGGACAAACTAATCTTTTTCAATCATCTTAAATGGTTATAATTGGAAATATTCAAGCAGTCAGAAGATCAATGGCCATTACTTACAAGGACATAGAGACTATCTCCCCACTTGAAATCCTTATACAAAGTATCTTAACTGAGACTCCTCCATTTCCTCATAGTATGGATAATATTTTTGAACCAATATCTATATATCATACATCAATTTTTTCTATGATTTTTCAAATTTTTTTTTCACACATAACATAACATTGCAACCAATCATATCAATTTGTTTTTTTGTTTAAAAAATTTGTGACTATGATCACTGTTCAATTTTATTAAATCTGTTTATGACCATTTAAGATGGTTGAAAATGTTAAATTGTGTATAAAAGTGTATGTTTTACTGGATTTTTGGTGTTGGTGTGTTAATTTAAATACATTAAATATATTTATTTTAAAAAATTAACTAAAAATCTGCAAAATTATAAAAATCTGATTGTTTTACAATCTATAATATGTGTTAAAGTATTTCATTTTTGTTTCTTTGACTTAACAGGAAGGAGAAAACAATGATAAATTTGATTTCCATCCACGTAGTAAAAATGCTTTACCTGCCTATCTATTGGTTCACAATCATTGGTTTTACATTCTTGATCTTTTAGCAGTTATTGTTTTATTGGGTTTAGCAATGTGTGAAAAACCAGCAGTTCCAGGTTTTAATGTAGGAGAAGGAGTAAGTTTTAAAAAATTTAATATATTCTGCTTTTTATACTGTATTAAATTACTCTGTAGTTCATAATAAAATATTGTTTATCAATGTTTTTACTTTAAACAAATAATTATTAAAAAGAATTATTAGTTCTACATTTAATTAATTAAATATCAAAGTAATGTTCAGATAAGCAATCAAATTAAACAATGTGATAATTTTTATTATAACTGATAAATGGAAGTAAATGGAAAAACTCTGATGAAAATTTTCAATAGCTGTTGTATTCTACAGTAGAGCGTCGTTTATCTGAATAATTGGGGACTGGGGTTGTTCGGATAACTTATTTGTCGGATAACCAATTATGTACAAAAAAATATATTAACCTATCCCATATTGAAATTTTTCCCCATTGTGTGTCGCTTCACATTGAATTTTTTTCAATGTTAAGCCTAACCTAAATTTTTAAAAATAATAATCGTGACTATTGTATTGTTAAAAATTTTTTTTTTATTTTGTACAAATAAAATAAATATATTGAAAAATATAAAAACAATAAAAAATTATACTTTAGAAGTTAATTTAGTATCAAAAACATTTGATTCAGCACGACACAATCCGACTGGAATGCTTTCGGTTAACTGATGTTTCGGTTGATCGGCTTTCGGATAAACGACGCTCTACTGTATATTCAGTTATAAAATTAAAAGTAATATTTTCAATTTTTTAGCCTGAAAAATCTCCAAAACTAGGAGTCAATTTGTCTGGTGGGTGTAAAATGCATATCTTTATTAGAGAGTGGTAAACTAGTGAAATGTAGGGGTTGCAAATTTACCAATTTTTTTTATTACTGGTGAAACTAAATTTTCAAAATGTTATTAGTTTACTGGCAAATTCTGGGATAATTTTAAAATTTTGACACCAAGTGCAAAAATTAGACACTAGTGATTGTATAGTTATCTATGATCAATTTAATTCCCTTTTCTAGTTTGAAAAATAAAAGTTTCATCAACAAAAAATAGAACATGCTATAATTTTTTAATTGCTGTGAGTTAAAAGTAGTTAGTATGACTGCTTACATTCAAATTAATGATTTTATTTGACAAAATGGAATATATTTTTGTGCTCTAGCAATTTATTTATTAATGCTATATAAAATATTCAGCATGGTTTAAAAATTTCAAAGAACTATTAAAGTAAAGTAATAATTTAAAGATAAATGATATAAATGACTTTAAATTTTAATAAAAACATTTTACACTTCTGTCTTTAATGTATAAAAATATAAATGAAATGAATATACAAATAAATATTTGACTTCAAAAAGTTATTACATATCTATTTTTTTACTGAATTTACTTGTAAAAAATATCAAATTACTGGTGTATTTACAAATGCATTTTTTACCTGATTATTCCCTAGTAGAATGATAGCTGCATGGCCAAGGCAATTAAGGCATTAACCTACTACTATGGAGACACTGAACCAAATTTGGTCAAACAACTCAGGAACTATTCATGGGTGATCTGTCAGATATGTTAGGTCCAGTCCTTCACTACCTGGTCATCCCCATTATATGCTGGCTAAACTTATAGTGGACATGTAAAAAAGGCCCTTTTAGTGCCCACAGGATGCTAAAAAGAGCTAAAAAATAAAAAAAAAACTGGAACAGTGCATCTAATAATTGCTGTGCATTACTTACCATAAATCCAGCACACTGTCATGAATATTTTCAACTAAACCAACTTTTGGTGAACTTATTTAGTATAGACATTAATATAATAATAAAAATTCAGTATAATGAACACTTCATCACATGATGTTTCCAACAGCTGATATATGTACCTGTACATAATTGTTGTAAGTGACAGAGCATTAGCAAAGATATATTACAGTGTTTTACTGTTATATACTATGTAGCATTTGTGTGAACTATTAATGTTTTATTGGCAGTGTTGTTTTGGCTTGTATATTTTTACTGATAGACCTGAAGTACATATGTAAAAGGTCTTCAGTAAGAATCTTGGTAAGATCTGTATCATCTTACCAAGATTCTTACTGAAGATTTTTTACATTGCTTGGTGTCCTACAATGCAAAAAATCTAATACAGTAGAACTCCAATTATATGAGGTGATGTGGACTGATGATATCTCATATTACTAAAACTTTGGATAATATTGTGACAATGCACAAAGTGCCCCCTAGGCTTTCAAACTACTTGACCAAAGGATTGACATCACTTTGGCAATGACTACGTCAGGATAGAAGACACCGCACAGCAACTAGGGCTGTTTTTGTTTAATCTCAGTGTTGTTAGTCACACAAGTAGTCACATGCGCAGGTGATCAGATTTGGGATGGAGGAGATCTGAGAGACAGTGTGTCAAAAATGAATCACTTGGATACCAGGTTAACAACTGATAACTGTTTAATTGCAAGGAAAAAGAGTACAAGACACAAACTTCATAAAATATTAAATTAAGATCTACATTGTAAGTAGTTGCAAGAGAGAGTTCACATGAGACTCGCATGGAGATAAATACCTGTAATTTGAAGGATTTATTTGTAGACCTGATGCAGGAGAGGATTTAGTCTGTCCCTTAGGAAGGTTGGATAAACAAGGAGGTTGGCACATTAGAAGAGTTCTGGATAATGTTCTGAGTCAGAATTGATCATATATCCATTTCAGAGGTACAGAGTTAACATTATTGGTTGAAGAATTGGTGACTATTTCCATGATAGGACCAGGTGATGACTTTAGTAATTTGTAACCTTTAGTAATTTGTTTAATACTGCCAAAAACATGTAAACTGAGAACTTCTCAGGTAGTAAAGGATAATCAACAATGTTAGTTGTCAAAACATGTATGTGAAATTGAAAAAAGATTTTTGTTAAAGTCTGGGTTCTCACAATATGGACACACACAATCATTTCAAAGTTACAAATATGAAAGATTTATATGGTATATCACTTTTAAGAATCTTTTTATACCTCAATGAATTTAATCATTTATAAAAACACAATTTTTACTTCATTTATTATACAGTTAATACACACATAATAGTTTAAAAATAAAAATGGAAATACACTGCAGTATGGAAAGGTAAGACTGCATACTTACCTTTCCATACTGCAGTGTGTACATTAAGTTTTTTTTTATTAAGTTTTATTGAATTTTGTAAAAGGGCATAATGCATCAACCACCACTGAAGTCATACTGTAATGATGAGACATCAGCATGTGTAGCAGCTTGTTGGTGAACCAAAAAGAACAAAACAAACAACTTTAACACAATACTTTCAAAATTAATTGTAATTGTGCTTGTTAAAAGTAAGTGTCAAATCCAAAATAAACATTTTTTATACGTACATTAGGCATTTTAATCTTATTTAAAAATTATCACACTCCCTTCATCTGGAGTTTTTTATATCCAGATCACTCCTGCCCACATTAAAAAATATTTTTTTAGTGTGATTTTAGAGGGTTATGAATATTTGGCATGGTCTTTGTCATAGATGGTACCTACTGTAAAAAATATTTACATAAATATTGCTGAGGAGGGATCAGTGAAAAATGTTGGATCCAAAATGCATATAAATAAAACATCTGGAAATTAAAATTGCTTCTGAGTAATTCTAGAACTCCAGTAAACAGTCATATTAGGAGGACATAACAATTTGTTTAATAGTCCAAAAAGCCCCTTTTAGGTGGTTAGATAAATAACTGATTAAACCAACTAACATTTTTAAGTTTATCAGATTAAAAAAATTTTTAAATTTAAATTTATGATAAATATGTTTCTATTATTGTTATTTTAATTACACTAGAATCCTAAAGTAATTTATAAAAATATTGTGTGAGATTTATAATTATATATAAGTTACATATATTTCATACAAATATTTTAAATTTCAGATACATGCATCTTTAGAGTTGCTTTGTCTTTCCATAATGGCTGTTGAATTAGTAATGAAAGTTAGATGGATGGGTATCCGTCCGTTTTTTTCTCATCCTAGAACAGTTATTAAGGTAAAGTTTCATTTTAGTAATTTGTTTAAATAATTTTACTAGAGAAAATTGAATTTGAATAATGTTCATTATTTGACTATATTTTTATTAATACTGTTAATGAGATATTCAAAACAGTATTGATACTACAAAAATGCAGTAATTAAAATAAATATTAAAAATGTTTATTACATAATCTATGATATATTAATTTAAAAGTCAGTTGTAAATTGGCCCACCAGTGACCAAGCTGTCTTCGTTCCCTGAACACTGGGAGTTTGGTTGTGGGTTTGCACCTTGCTCAGACAGACTGACCATGTGGAATTTCCTGGGTTTTCTCCACATCTGTAATGCCTAGGATAGGAGCCTAAATAGCCAAATAGGAGCCAGTTAGTGCCTACAATAGGATAGGATAGTAGCCTAAATGCCTAAATAGGAACCAGTTTCTCTTAAAAAGACCTCCCGGAAGGCATCCCCCTAGGCAGATCGCCCAAGTGTTGCATTGCCATAACTAAACAAATAAACAGTTGTAAATCAGTGATAATTAATGCTGTATTCTTTCAGAATTTTAGTTTTAATGTTGGCTATTTCAAATTGTTTAAATATTTTGTTGCTATGCTAACTTTTATTTTTAAATACAAATTTATAAGAAATATGATTGTGCATTTGTGGCAGCATTCATGTATGGTGGTCTGCCGTATTATTTTATTTGTGTCCTTTACCAATCCCTTTTATCCCTTGTTCTATCCAATTTTTGTAAACTTGTCCAGCTCTTTTGTTGTATGAAGTTGAGGTGGAGTCCTACTGAGAGAGACTGATTTGGAGAGTATGGTGAAGGCAGCCTGGGGAGATTGGTGAAGCAAGGAACTTCACTTTTTGGCTGAGACACAGACCGGAACTGAAGTGGAAGGAGTGTGAGGAAGAAAGCATTGAGGATCTTTTGAAGATGACCCTGACAATTTGTTGAAGGGAGAGTGAGTGGAGATCATCCTGTCAGATGCGTCCAGTTGAAGAAGTCTAGTGATGAATGTTCTAGAAAGTGATGTACACAGTAGCTAAGTGTATTAAGCTGTCTGTTGGCAAGAAATGTGTTTTTGTGTCTCCTGAATTTTATAATTATAGTATTTGTTGTGTCACACTTATTAATTATAGCATTGTTAGTTGCTAGTATTAGGTCCATGGTAAATTTATTGTACTTAGTTTTAAGTTTGTATGATGGTGTATGTGCATTTGCAAAGCCGAATATTGTCTCACTGGAAGTGGCTGAAGATTGGGTCTCATGAGAACATTTGTATGGCATATTAAACTGCTCTTTTATTGTTAAGGTAAGACTTTGTGTCACTTTTTGTTTTCACAGTCCCAACAAAACACTAATTTTGAAATCTCACACATTGCAGCCAAGTAATATTGTTAACATCATAAGAGCAGACAAATACTTGCTGTACATGTGTGAACCTAAAGAACACTTGTAGAATATTATTTTAATTAATGAAAATTTTTGTGAATAGTGAAAGATTGGAAGTTACTAACAATGTCTGTTTGATCAACATGTAATAAGTTCAGTTTTATTATGCAGAAGGACATCAATCAATGGATATTTTGACATTAATAGAAGCTATATGGTATCATGTATCTAGTCAAGATTGATATAATGGAGTAGTTATGTTTTGCTAAGTTTTGTGATGAGTGTATAGAATCAACAGTATTCTCCCTAGACCATTTTGCTGAGTGTCCTTCCTGAATGAGTTTTCTGGTTGCCCAGCTAATAAACTTTATGAGAAGTATAAATATGCACCCAAAAAGTATGACTTTTTTCGTATTCCTCAAGTGTAGTTTGATCCCAATTTTTAACATGTTTACCAGAACACATTCAAAATTTAAACAAATGCATTCTTTCAACAGATTCTTTGTGAATATATCTGAAATTATATACAGTATGTTAAAAAAAACACATTCATAAATACATGTGAAAATTTTTGTTTTATCAAAAGTTAAAAAATTCCTACATAGGCAACATAAAAAGAGTGTCATATCAGACTAATTTACTTAGTTTTTAAAAAAACATTTTTGACCAAAATAATAATAATTCTAAAAAAAGAACCACTAATTTCAAACTAGAATGTGAAGCTGTTGTCAAGACAGAACAAGGTTATTCATATGAGAGATTGAGTCTACTTGGCAATTTTTTAACTATCTGGAAAAAACTGTATCATTTTACAAAGACACAGGATGGAAGCATATGTTTTCTGGGATAAATGGATTTTTATTTGCAGCTACCTCAGGAGCTATACATTTCCTATACTATTATCATATATGATATGAGTTACTAATGAGCTACTATGTTTATGATGAATCCCACAGGCACTTGCAGAGGACAGAAGGTGGATTGCATGATTAATGTATACTGTTGCATTTTTCATAATACAAAGATGAAGGAAATGAATTTTATAACACATTATTATTGGAGACAAAACATGATCTCACCATTATGATCCAGAAACAAAGATAGTGTCAATTAATTTTATAAATAATATAAGTTAAAAATATAAAAATTTTTTATAAATAATGTCAGGTAATGATTTAACATTCCAATTTTGAATGTTAAAAGAATGATAAGTATAGAAGCTATATAAAGATCTTATGTAGATTTATGAAATAAGCAGAAAACATTTGTCAACTTAATAAATTTTATGCTGGAAATGTGTGGATGGTGTTTTGCAGTGGCATGCCATGACATTTGATGATAGGGAAGCTGTGTTTATGTAAGAAGCCGACTTCCAGGGGCAATCAGTTAATGCGCGTCAGTGATGTCTATTCGTTTGTTCGATAAGCCAGTAAAAACCGTAGACTTCTCTAAATGTATTTTTAATATTGCAATTACATTCCGAATTGCTAGCAACGATATAAGGGCTACAATTAAAAATAAAATAATAAAAACTTACTTAGTGAAATAAAATGTGTGGTAGATGTACTGTACATACCTGATACAAAATATTCGTCAATTGTATGAATATACTTTTAAAGAAAATTATAATTAAATATAGCTTTGTAAAGAAACGTACATAAAAATAACAAAATATTCTTTACTTTTTAAATATTAAAACAATTCACTTAGTCAAATAGCTCCCTATGAGTGGCTAATGGATGGAATCAGAGACAGTCCTGGCATGCATGCACGCGAGCTGCCAAATCCTGAGGGTGCTGATACTGGTCAATGTCAAATACCTCTTTTGTCGTGTCACTAGTATATATCAAAGGATGCAACAGGGTTGTTGTAGACTTTAAATGTTTCTCGCCATAGCTGTAAAAATCTACATATGTTGAACTTAATAGTCATTTGTTTTCTAACTAATTCATTTTAGGACCAGGTGTCCACGAAAATTTCCAAAATTTACAACTTTTCGGTCACTCTCATTGAACTGGAAAAATTTTTGCCATTATTACATCTAATATTACAAAGAAATCAGTCCCCACTGTACTCAGCTAGAGATTGGTTCGGTTAAGCTTTTGTTTAAGTAAAATTCCAGCTCTTTCAGCAGGATTTTATTTATGTCCCCAATTCCCTAATCTCTTAATTATTTAACTATTTCTTAAGAAGAAATCGGTTACTTTGTACTTGAATATTTGTAGTCTTGGGAAAAAAGTGGAAAGACAAATTTTTACGACAACGGATACATACATAAATTGTAAACTTAAGGAAAATAAATTCTAGAGCTTTTCTGTACCTTGTGCAGTGCTCTCATTCATTAAATTTAGTTGTAAATGATGCTACCAAAGTAACAGTTAATTTTTTAACATTGTAGAAGAATTGTACATGTTTTTTTTCTACATCCCCTTATAGATGGGATGTACGAAATCATAATATCACTGGTTTAACATTGAAATCCATAAGTAATATAAGATGGGAGAGCAGAATAAAAATATCAAAATATCAAATATTTTAATGGATTTTTTAAACTCCTGTCAACCATACAGAACTATCATAAAAACATACCAGTAAATTACTATTGGGTTAAGTTATAAATCTACTCATGATTCACATAATCGGGCGAGGGCAGCCAAAATCTAGCAGGCAGGTGGCTAACAGCCCAGAACTGGTTTAGGATAGAATCATTGGAAGTGTCTATGTGTGTAGCTTCCACCAGCTAAACCAGGTGAGGTTGGTGCTCTGTAAAGTGCATGCGTGAATGCGTATAATCTGGCTGTATGGAAACTGACTCAGTTTCGACAATATGGCATTCCATTCCACCACTGATATTCAAATATACAATAACAATCTTATCGTTTTTTTTCACATGTAGTATAGAAATTTGTAATAAGATACATAATGTGGTTGTAATAAAATATTAATTTTTATTAATCCAAAATATGTTAAAATATGAAAATAATTGCACAATATGTATTTATTTTTTAGAAAATACAAGGGAAGCGGCGCTTTCACTGCTTCCAATGACGGCACACTGCCACTTTTGTTTTGATATTTTTGTTACTTCAGTCCCAGCTTTATTCATCTAATTCTATATTTCACTTTTTTAATGTGTTGATTAAATACAAAACTATTGATTTTTGATTTTGATTATGATATAATCAGAACAATTTTTATAATCAAATTCGTTTAATTTAATTTTTGAATTTATTTATTAACAAACAACAATAAATTAAGATGCTAATGAATAAAATAGATATAGGATAAACATGATAAATTTATATGAAAATGTAATTAAAGTTTAAAATAATACCATTTTAAACTCTGTTTACATAGTAAATTATTGCTTACTAAATCTGAATATTTCTTGATTATCTGTTTATTATTCCATTAGATCTGAAAATTTTGTTTACATGAGATGTTTTGTGTAATAAATTGTAATAAATTATTTTTTGTGTTAACAGAAATGATTAAATTATTATTTATTTAAAATCTAGTTTAAAATAATATGATTATTATGTTATTATAATTTCTCCATTCTTTAACATATTTCTGCAGCTATACAAATTATTTTAGCTTATTTTTTCTTTTGGCATTTGAAGAAAGAAAAATATATTTGCATAGCTACTGAAAGACAGAATGGAGAAATAACAACTAACTTTAATTTAAATCTTAATAATTAAATAAATTTTTCTAATTATTTTTCAGTTAGTTGTTGTGATTACGATGATTGTAGAATCTTTAGTTGTATTGTTACGACAGACAAGTCATTTTAGAATTACAAGAGCACTCAGACCTATTTTCCTCATAGATAATCATTATTGCAAAGGTGTAAGAAGGTAAATTGTCATTTATAATTAAAATTTTATTTAATTAATAACTAGAACAGGAAATACGTTTTTATAGGGTTGTTCGACAAATTCTTCAATCACTGCCTCCTATATTAGATATGCTTTCATTATTGTTATTTTTCATGCTGATTTTTTCAATTTTAGGTAAGAATTTTCTAATTTTGTGTGTATGTGTGTGTGTGTGTGTGTTAGGTAAACTAATTCAGAAATTATTTTTTTAGGTTTTTATTTATTTTCATCAGATCCAGATAATCCTGTAAGTATATATATTTTCAACTGTAATATGTAAATATTTTTCACATTACAATTGAAAATAAAGATAAATGTTAATTTTATATTTTTTCCAGCACTTTTCAACTTTGCAAGGAAGTTTTGTAAATTTGTTTATTTTATTGACAACAGCAAAGTGANATTTTATTAATTTTATTTTATTTTTGTAAATATTTATAGGAAGATATGTTCTAGATCTGTTGGGAATAGATGTAGAAGTTTATTATGCAAGTGAGATAGATCAAGATGCTATAAATGTTGCCATTGTTCAACATAAAACAAATATATTACATTTAGGGCCTATAGAAGAAATTACTGATGCAGAAGTATGAATATTTTTATTATATGATTTGATTTAATTTTGAAATCAAAATTCTTTTTATATTTAATTATGTTCAGATTTTAAGAAAAATTTAATATTCACACAGGACCAGATTACATTCTATTTTGTAAAAAATTTTAAGTTTACACTCTCTAAAAATAAAATATGAGAAAAAAATAGAAATTAAATAATTTTTATTTATATATTCGTTTAATTTTTTTAAACAATAAAAGAATTTTATAAATAAGTAATAATCATAACAGAACATTTTCCTCTGAGCAAGAGAGATGGAATTATACCCTTTCTGATCATATACCCATGCTAAATCTAAAATTGATCTTCATTGAGTGATATCTGATTAAAATAATCTGATATAATTTCAACGTATACTAATTTACATTATTCTTTATTAATAAAATTTATATTAAAATATTTTCTTTAATAAAATAGTTATTAATTTTATAAACAATATTTTATCTTTCAAAGAAGGAGAAAAAAAAATACAATTTTGAAATAAATTTATTTTTTAATAATTTTCAAATGCATTATAAATTTATTAATTTTGTTGCTACAGAAACTATGCTAAGATCTATATTTATAAATAGAGCATTAAGTTTTATCAAACATTATCAAAATTCATTTATTTAAATTTTTAGTGTTATTGTTTGAATTTTATTCAAGTGAAAATCTTTTATTGTATTAGTATTAGTGGATGCTGATTTCTTGCTGTGATTGGTTAGAAAAAATCAGTGGGGTGGTAAAAAAAACCCCTTCAAGATTTTTACATTTTTGGACTTGATCTTGAAATGTTAATTAAGAAATGCAAAAAAAGGGGGAACTTTTTTCATATGTATGGATGTTTGTGTGTGTGTGTGTGTGTGTGGAACAATTTTTTTCACACACTTTAAAACTTAATAATTCCTATGCTTTTTGTTAAAAAATTGAAATTTTGCAGAGGNGTCTATTTTAATAAATTCTTGTTTTAATTGTTAAATGGTAGACTCCTTTACTCGTATACTGCCTACACCTTATCGTCGACCCCAAATACTCTCCCTCCACTCTACCAATATCTGAGAGTCCCGATCCTCGGGACCAGACATTGTAATTTAGCCATCTTGACAAGTGAGCAGGTTTAATGACCTGTTGCCAGAAAGAGAGGAGCGACCGTTTCCAACCTTCCCTGCGGTTCACATATTGAATACATGCCATATTGTTAGGAAATTCCTGAATACAGACACAGACACTGACACATTTATTTAATTTTAGTTTTGTTTTGGTTGCTATGCCTTGACTCTGATTTGGCATAGTACACAGCCACCTGTGTCAACCGAGTATAACCCACTAAACCCAGCATAATAATAATAAATTAAATGCATTGACACACTCAAATAAAAACTTGCAGCCAAAGCACTTTAACTCAAATGTTACAAAATTTGCTCTGTACAAAAAAACAACAAAATATTCACAAACAATAAAAAAATCTTCTACAGGCAAATTAATACCAAATCCACTACTGATTCCCAGCACAATGGTATGCCAAATGAAGAACTCACAAATTATTGGTCTTCTCTTTAGTTTACTGCTGTCAAGCACAATACTGATGCAGATTGGATCAAAGAGCAGAGCAAAAATATGCAGGACATACCTAGTATGCATTGTGTTGAAATAAATATATCAGACATCCATTGTACAATGTAGAAAACATACAAGTGGACAGCACCTGGTGTAGATAACATTCACAATTTCTGGTACAAAAAATTCACATCTCTGCACCAGGAACTACCCAAACATTTAACTCAGATCATCAACAATCCACATGACATGCCAATTTTTCTCACACGAGGCATCACCTACATGAAATCAAAAAACATCAACACCAAAGATCTTGCACAATATAGATCAATTGTCTTCCAACACTTTACAAGTTTCTTGCATCTTGTATCACAAACAAAATATGCAGGCATATTGATGAACGTGATATTCTTACAGAACAACAGAAAGGCTGCTGTAGAAATCACAAAGATTGCAAAAAACAACTACTCATTTACTCTGTTATCCTACAACAAGTTCATAAGCAACACAGAAACATACACTACATAAGGCATACAATGATTACAGAGAAGCATTTGACAGTGTCCCACACACTTGGTTGCTGCACACACACTTTACATCTATAAAATTCATCCCTAACTCATTAGTTTTCTTGGTTCTACCATTCTTCACTGGAGAACAACATTACATCTTAATGTCCATAATGCTCATAAAAACAAATCAAATGGTTTTGCCTTGCACATAATAATTTGAAGTCATGATTATTTTGTTTCTTGAATTTCAAACTAACAAAGATGATTTCCTGTATGGATTTTTTATAAAATGCCAACAAGTTTAAGTATATTTAATTATTATAAGTTAAGAAAGGTTATTACTAAAGCAAAAATGTTTCTTGAAACAATTTTTATTCATTAGGTTTTGGTATAATAGCTGTTATTTGTTGTTTTGCTTAAATTCATAAAGTAAACTTCTAAAATATATAAATTTATATTGTCATGAAAATTGAAATGAATTATATTATTCTCTTCTTTTTATTATTTAACAATTTATAAAATTGTCAAATAATAAATTATATTATTGAAAAGTCTTATTTGTTTTATTGCATATTTCACTTTTCAAAATATTAACATGAAATATAGGTATCCCTCATAAATGGTACAACATGGCACTTCTACAACACTGTTTCACTCAAATATGGTTCAAAAATTGGGAAAATCCCCTGTACAACATGGTTTTTGGTTTTGCTCTAACATGGCTTTGGAAATCCTCTGTACAAAATTTCACAATTTTTAAGTGTAAATCTCATTATTCAATATTTTTTTTTTATTCAAGTAAGCACACGTCTCAAATTTGCCTATGGATTTTAGAATATTGAAATTTTCAAATTATTTTGAGCTTTTCATCAAGTTTACTTTAATGAAAACTGATAGTCCAATTTTTTCTTTCTTGTCCTAACTTTTCTATTAACCAGGTGTTGTCATTGTTAATTTCAGACTTTATCCCTTAAGATTGTCACTGTGTTTTGTTTTTATAGATTAATCTTCATATTTAGTAAAGTTTATTTAAACATTTTTATGTAAGTGTTATTAAAGTTCTTTTTAACCATAGGTATTACTTACCTATGAATGATTTTTTCGTTTGTAAAAATGATGAACGAAATACAGTGGTATATTGGTACTCGAACAATTCAGTATTCGAACATAAATTCTGGAAAAATGTTGCTCGGTATTGGATCCTTCAGCAACATCTATACAAATTCTGCAACTGTTGCTGAAGGATTAGAATATAGGCTTCAATGTTTACAGCACCATCTCAGAAATGCAAATTTCCAACTTCCTCTGCACTCATGCGTCCCCAAACCATTAGAGACTGTGGCTTCTGTACTTGTCTTGAATAATATGCTAGATTATTAGCTACATCTTTAGTATGACTGCCTTTTCTTCCCTTATATTCCCATGGTTTATGTGAAATGTTGATTCATCCAATCATAGTATTTGCTTCCAATCAACATTTGTTGACTTCAGATAAGTTCTGGCCCAAGCCTAATGTCTGCACTTGCATGATTAATTTATGAGAGATTTCCCCTTGGACATCATTGGATATATCTCCACACTATGTATTCAGATAATGGGATATTAAAGTATTCCCTTGCCCACTTTGTCAAATAGTCTATGGAAACTTATCTGTTTTGGGAAATATGTCATCAAAAAAGACTATAGTTGTTTGGAACTGAGAGGTAGTTTCCTTCATAAAGCTTTATCTGGATAAGTGTTATTATTTCATCAAAAACGTTTTATGATTCCCTGGATTGTATATTGAGATATTTGCATATCTCGTACAATACTGCATTGAGAGATTCATTTTTTTTTCTTATGGATGATAATTTTCCTGATTGGTTCCTGTATTGCCTAACCTCTCATCATTTTTCACAGACATTAATAAGAACAGCTAAAGGTGACTTGCCTTTTTTATGCAAGACATGTGACATAAGGAAAACTATGAGAAATTCTAGAAAATTCATCCAAAATCCTTTCTGAACAAACTTCATTTTAATGTGTTGCCAAGCAATTGCAAGCTTTGTACAGCTATGTATTCCAAACTAATGAAATCCAAGGTAATAGGTAATTTTTAAATAAAGTAATTTTTGGTTTATTTACAAAAGGAATTATTTATAATATGTGATTTAATATGTATGCAAGAGTTTTTAAGTTTATGTAAATTTCTAAAAGTTTAAATGGTGAATTTCAATTCATTGCAAGTGGGGTATAAAATTGACTTATCTGAACTGAGACATGTCACTTGTTTTGACCATTGCTTTAACAGGGTATATGAAACAATTAAGGCAGAATTTTCTTGGACCAATTATTTATTTCAGAATGAAAAAGGCTTTGATTACTTTTGTTTTGATTATACAAAAAGATAACTTACTTGTCACTCCAAAGCATAATAAGCAGATGGGGCACATGGATTTAAGTGGCTTGCTTTATACCAAAAATTTCTCATCCATGGGAGCATATTGATAAACTGGACAGTCTTCAGCAGTCACAATGAAACTAGATTCTGTTGAAACAACCTATATTAAAGGAACTCTACACTGTTCATTCATATGAATTCTGTGCAGTTCAGTTTCTAAGCTTGAGGAAAGTGGTCTGTCAACTGAGAAGCAGTGGGAGATTTTTAAACACAAGAAAAACCAGTTGGATGGATTTCTTTAGAGAAACTATAATCCCTGAGCAAAAATTTAGATAATCAAAATATTATTTCTGAATCTCTTCAGTTATAAAGTCTGGAGATTTTAGTGAAAACCAAATATGCTACTTTTATATCTGTTGATGTTGAGAGATTGTTTTCATGATTCAGATTTACTTTCCTTGCACCATCTTTGGGTGACTATGGAGAACATAGAACTACAATGGATTTGTAAGTACTGTACAACGCTTTTCTATTTGTAAACTATGAAACTGATGGATCAGATTCTGAAAGTAATTAACCAATTGAATTTTCTGTAAACTTCTTGAGTTTTATATGTTCTATGTGTACTTTTATGCACAATAAAATGATGGTTTTACTTTTGTATGCTTTTAGGAGCATTTTTTCTTTGTAAAAATCCACTATTTTTTAACTCTATATAACTAATCATTCGTCCACACCACAACGCATCTCTGCTTGAAAGTGAAATTCAGAAACTTTCCCACGCTTCCTGCCAGTCATTCTTTTTCTACCTTAATAATTTGAATAAACAGTGCCGTGTGTAATGTAATTGTGTTCACATGTCAATTAGAAATTGACTTATGACCATTCTATAGTCCGCTTAGTGAAAGTTTAGTTACTACGTAACTTTGTTGCAAAGTCATGTACATTATGTATATTGTTATGGCTGCAGATGTAAACAGTTAGTACGTGATAAATGCCATTCCCTATTTGGGAAAAGGTACTGATCCTCAGAAACAAATATTGGCTACGTTTTTCATAAAGGAAATAACATCTATTTTACATGGAACAAACTGTAACATTACTATGGATAACAGGTACACATCTGTATCTTTGGCAGATGAACTATTGAAGTCACTTTAGAATTTGACCTTAGTTGTCACTCTTAGAAGTAACGAAAGAGAAATTTCTGAAAAATTAAATAATTCTAAATTACACACTATTGGTACTTCAATATTTTGTTATGATGGCAATAAGACATTAGTTTCGTACAAAGCCAAGCCAAATAAAGTTGTTTATGTTTTGTCGACTATTTAAGATCAAATTAACATTGATAAAAGTACAGGAAAACCACAAATAATACATTTTTATAATAGTACAAAGGGTGTAGTAGACACAGTAGATCAAATGTGTTCAAATATGAGACAAAACCAAAAGGTGGCCACTATGCGTGTTTTATAATATGCTAAACCTATTGGCAATAAACAGCTATGCTATCTATGTCTCTAATAACGTCAGAACTGATGTCCCAAAAACTGATGTCCCAGTGGAATTTCTTTATGAAGATGGGAGACAAACTCATGGAGCCCTGGCTACAACAGCGGTTACAGACAGTGCCTTTGAGGCATGATATCAAAACCACAATACAGGATATTCTAGGTGATGCGCTCAGTGTAGAAGCTTCTACTCATTCTGCATCAAATCTGCGTAAAATATGCTATTTATGTCTATCGAAAGCTCGATGAATGACAAAACACTGTTGCATGAAGTGCAAAAATGCATTTTGCAGCCTCCATAATGTTAACATATGTAGCAACTGCATGTAATCTTATTTCCTAAATATTTTGTCCATATTTAGTTCCTATTTATCCATACTATTGTGCCATGTAATAAGTTGTTATTTTTATTAAACAATTTTGTTGATATTAACATTTTTAATGCGTAGTCCGCTCAATGAATGTGTAGTTATAATGTAACTAGAATTTAAGTTTAGTTATCTAGGGTTAAAAGAAAATTTGCATTTTAACTCGCCAAAGATACTAATAATATAGTTTTTAGATAAAGATTGTAATAAAAATTTAAACTTTTTAAAATCATTAAATAAAAAGCACTTCAAATAATTAATAAGTTATTAATATATATGTAATATAGAAATATTATATAAATATGTAAAAAAGAAATAAATAAAAATAATTATTATTTAGATGTTAGCTGTTGTATATGAGACATTTACAAGAATGGAGAAAGAAAAGTTTCGGAAATTACTTTTACATCGACGCAAAGCATGTCAGTTAGCCTTTCATTTATTGGTCAGTAAGACTTCACCTGCTTCTGTCTCATTTCGTCATTTTGAAGGATTAATGAAATATTACAAACCTAAAGCCTGTAAGTAATTTTACATTTTTTAAATTTTCAATATATAAATAAGATTTTAATTAAGATGAATGTAATTGTAGAAATTTTATTAGTTAAGCTTTATATGATTTAGTAATAAATATTGTTATAAATTTTAAAATGATAAAATATCTTATTTTCAAATAATTTTATTTATGACATGCAAATATCAGATATTCAATAATAATAAAAATGGAAAAAACAAAATAATTATTTAAGATATCTACCACTTTTGTAGGTTTACTTGCCAAATTAATAATCTGTTTCAATATGCACTTTCATTAAGTAATACAGAATTTTAGAGTAGAACTAACATTGCTACACTAACAGTTTGACATAATTATAATTATGTTGTGCTGTCTTCAAGTTGAAGATTAAGCAGTGTAAAATCTTTAAATCTTCTTTTATTGACCTATAAACAAGGTTGAGATATTCATTTACATGCAAGACACATTTCTAACTTTTTTATTCTTCTTCAGTTGCTTTTAAATTACAAATTGAATTACAACATGATACAGAATAATTTTTTTATCATAAAGATGGCAAAAAACATTTACCTTGTTAAACTCCAATAGACATATACTTGAATGAATACAAGAAATGTCTTTCTTGTATTCATTCAAGTACAGTAATACTCCAAACTTATGTGATAGGTGGGACTGAGCAATAACCGCATAAGTCGGTATAATTTCGCAATTTGTGTAAAATCCAAGTCAGATGTATGTAAGCTAATAAATGTTCTCGTTAATCTTATCTCATCTTTTGATTCATTCATGGTTACAAGAAATCACCACATAGGGTCTCTCAAGTCTCCATAGATATAACAAACACAGAAATAAATAACACAAAATAAATTGTAGATATGTGTCGATTCTGCAGAACATGTCTGAACATGTAAGCTGAACAATAGTGTGGGAGGAGTGAGTAATCAAGAGTTGTGTGGCGCTCAAACAAAAGATGAATCAACAAGATTTGAAAATCGTGTAACTCTGGGCTCGCATAAGTCGGGGTAGCATAAATCGAGGTATTACTGTACAGGTAACCCTCATATAACACGACACTTCTATAGCACGGATTCACTCTACCATGGTTCGAGAATTCGGAACATCCCTGTATAATACAGTGCTTTTAAAGCACAGATTCACTCTAACACAGTTTGAGAATTGGGTAAAACCCACGTACAACATGAAATGTTGTAGCACTTTGTGGCTATTATATATTATATATTTTTTTTTATCTTTATTGTTTTCCGTTTATGTCGCGTCACACATATGTTTTTGTACAGATCTTTTTCTGTTTCCTTCCTCGATACCACCTGTTAGCTGATGGCTGGTTTTTTCGAAGTTATGATTGGTCTGTGACAAGATCACATGGGATGGAGTAACATGGGTTAGCAGTAAATATAAAAGCGTGTGTAACGGATTGTATAAACACCTTTTTTCCTCATTGTGAGTGTGCCATGGATGGAAGGAGATATGATACGTGTAAAGTACTATTTTTAATTTGTTGCTCTACAACGATATTTTTCTTAGAGCCGGGACCTAACGGGTACTTTACGCGGGTTTGCGTTTGTTAGTTGCCAGGCCTGGACTTTTAGCGTGCACCGAAATAAATTAAGGACAACGTTAGTCACAAAAAAAATCTCAATAATAAATGTTTAATCAAGTTTAACCAATACTATGTACAAGATTTATAAACAAACAACAAATTTATTAATCAAAAATCAAATCACAAATCAACCCGACAAACTTAAGTCTTATTCTAACTTAGAACTATTCCCCTTGGAATTCCGACAAAACAAAATCCAATTCTTAACTTAGATACAAATTCTCTTATAACTATCAATCCTAACCGTCACCTCAATTAATACTCGGAACCTTTTCTTCTACTCAAGACTTTCCTATTTCCAAATCACCAAAATCGAACCTTCAATCTCCTACTAGGATTTCCTATTCGACACCTATTCACTGCTACCAGCAGACCAACGCTTTCCGTTCAGGAGCTCACCTCTTCTGTCTTCACTTGAGCTACTGTACTTATAGTATGAGGTGACGTCACAGTTCTACTGTAGCCACTCCCCTCATTTACATATCTACACGTAACATTGTTTTCTCTTCGTTATCTGGTAGCTTATTTCTCGACAATACTTTGTTAACCTTTTACAGCATTTCTTTAACAATTATCGGGATGTTTTGTTAAGGTTACACAAGTTCCTAGAAAGTCTATTGGGGTGTCCCCCCCTTCAGTGCGGACTTACAATTCTGCCGCTCGGGCGTGCACGTGAGTGCAATGCTAGCTATGGCGCTATCGTTTCGTCGTCGGTGAGTTGGTTAATCTTTTATCTTCTCGTTTTGAACGTTAGGGTGGTGGGTGAGGAAACCTTCGTCCTAACCAAACATAAGCCCCAAACAAAAATATAATAAAGCAAAGTAAAAGTAAACTAAAAATAAAGCACGGACTTGGTTCCTTACATACGTAGCAGAGAGGAGAGTCAACTGTCGCTAGGCTTAAAGAAGTTATGGTGCTGAAGGAAAGTCTGTTTCCATAGAAGGAATAACGAAAAAGGAAGTGGAAATCATCGTCTATAAAGGAAGAAGACTATTTTGTAAAGATCATCAATGATTGTATCGTTATGAAAGAAAGTTTGTAAGTTGTTTGGGTACTCTGTTTCCCAAACTTTTCTTTGTGAATATTTTTGTCATCATATTTATTTACCACTTGTCAGATAAAGCAGGGCCTCACGTTAGGAAGGAAGGGGGAATATCAAGTAGTATTGTTATTGTGACGCTATTGTTTTCAGTCATTTAATTGTGTATTTGTATTAATATTATATTGCGTTTTTCATCCCAAATAAACCTTGATTGTCAAGTTACACATTTTCACCGACTATTCATTATCTTTCTCTTTGTTTCATTCATTGTTTGTCTAAAACCACAGACCACATGCCTTGCGGAGTTCACAATGTACAGTAATAAAAACTATTAAAAGTGAACTTTATTAAGTGCTAAACAAAAAGTTTATTAAAATAGTAAAATTTTTATTTCAGGTAAAAGAGATGTTTATTTAATGTTTAAAACACTTGACATAACAAAGACTGGTTTTCTTTCAATTGAAGAATTTTATCAAGTATATGAAGTTAGTCCTTTAAAGTGGAAGGTATTAATTATAATTATATGTAAAATAAAAGTAATTTATTAATTAAATTAATCTGAAAAATGTAATATTAATTAATTTATAATTAATATAACAAAATTTTAGTTTGGTTCTTGATTATATTATTTACATTACACAATAAATTTTTTAAATAAGCCAAAACGACCAGAAGAACCATGGTTTAGTAATTTGGGAAATCCATGGGAAATTATTTTTAGAGGTATGTAAATTATAACTTGGTTTTATTTGTAAAAACAAAATTGTTTTCTTTACTTTATTTTTCATGTTAAAATGTAGATTGGAACATTTTATGATTTAATACTGATGTCAAAATTTCTTGCTAGCTATACATCAGTTGGTAACATGGAAGTATACTGATATCATTATTAGTAAGTATATTTTAAAATTTTTTGTATATAATTACATAATTTTACATTTTATAACATTTGTTGACTTCAGATAAGTTCTGGCCCAAGCCTAATGTCTGCACTTGCATGATTAATTTATGAGAGATTTCCCCTTGGATTTGTATAGCCTGTATTTGCATCATTGGATATATCTCCACACTATGTATTCAGATAATGGGATATTAAAGTATTCCCTTGCCCACTTTGTCAAATTAGATATGCTTTCATTATTGTTATTTTTCATGCTGATTTTTTCAATTTTAGGTAAGAATTTTCTAATTTTGTGTGTGTGTGTGTGTGTGTGTGTGTGTGTTACGTAAACTAATTCAGAAATTATTTTTTTAGGTTTTTATTTATTTTCATCAGATCCAGATAATCCTGTAAGTATATATATTTTCAACTGTAATATGTAAATATTTTTCACATTACAATTGAAAATAAAGATAAATGTTAATTTTATATTTTTTCCAGCACTTTTCAACTTTGCAAGGAAGTTTTGTAAATTTGTTTATTTTATTGACAACAGCAAAGTGAGCAACATTATNTGAAAGCGGGTAAGATTAGCTATAATGTAATTATCTTAATCATCACTATCGTTACCTTTTGCCCAGCGAAGTGGGTCCTTGCAGCTAGATTCTAGATTACTTAGAAAAACAGTCTTTTATATAGGCCTATATAAAAAAAACTATATTACATACAAATAAAAACCCAGCGAAGCGGGTCCTTGCAGCTAGTTAAAAATAAAAAGCCAGAATAAAAAGAATGTTTCCAATACTATAAATGGTTTTTTTAAATAGTGAATTTTTAAGGTACACTGCAGAATATAATGCCAATTTTGCCCCATCTGTGAGAGCATGCTGAGAATCAAAGCTATATTCACAATTTGTGATTTATTTGTTATGGACTAATCAGACATGGCTCAAGGTTTATTTACTGTTTTAAAAGTGCTTTATTGTCGATGTTATGCCAAAGAGGCATTTCAGGTAATTCCCATCATCAGTTTGACCTATTGGAATGTTACAATTAGGATTTCTCTAATGGGGTTCCGGGATCCCGTATGTTTTTTAATCAGGAAATATTGTTATATTATAAATATATTTATAAAGGAAAATATCCCAGGAAATTTTTCTCATTTCGCGAAATCCCACAAATTTCTTAAAAATTCACTTTTTTCTTATTTTGTATTAAAATTGAAGAAATTTTACAAATAGAAAGTATAATTAACTCATAAACCATCAGAATACATTTGTATTTATTAATTATAAGCCTGATTATTACTTTTTTTTAAATATTTATTTATTATTGCATGTCGCAGATTGTCAATAATCAATATGTAGCCTATTTGTGACAGGACTCTGAAAATTCTTTATTTTTCAGAACCTGTTATATCTGGAATAATTGTGCTTATGTTATCTTAAATTTTAACCATGCCCCCAGTAGCTTCAATAACTGCATTATGCCAGGTTGTGCAAATTGGGGAAGGATACAAACGAGTATGAAGTATGCAAATATGAAGTTTTTCTTCATAAACCAGATTATTAAAGCTAAACAAACTGTTGAATTATCAGGCTATAAGCTCGATGCTGCTATTAAAGCAGCCAAGGTAGACAAATCAAGAATACTAGATGGCAAAAAAGTACTGTAATGCATCTCGAAAATGAACTAGAAATCTTCCAGGCTATGGGTGAAAAAAGACATTACATTTGTCTTTTCTTAAATGCATTAAAGACAATTCCACTCACATCAATTGAATCAGAAAGGGCATTCTCGATAGCAGGACTTTACATTACTAAAATAAGAATCAAATTGAGTGATCAGAGTATTGACCATCTTTGCTTTTTAAAATCTTATTATAAAAATGTACAATAATATTTTGTATTATGTTTTATTTAAAAACCGAAAATTACCTTTTAAGTTAGAAGTTTGATCTAAGTTTATTTTTTTTAAATTTTCAACTCAATTCAAAGGTTTTTTTTTTTGTTGTTGTTGTAAGCAGTTTCCAACAAACTTTAATAAATTTTTTTGTTTGTTTGTGAAAATTTCTATGTAGTTCAAAAGTAATTTTTATACATATTTTACACAGCATTATTAATATTATTATTTTGGAGGTCGCAGGACGTATTAAGTTACTTAAAAATGAAAAGTAATTAATTATATCCCAGGATCCTGAAAAACAGTTCACTTTTTTCCCATAATCATGGGACAAGCAAAAGACGGAAATGAGAAACCCTAATTACAATACAGTGGTACCTTGACTTACGAGTGTCCCCATTTATGAGTTTTTTGAGATATGAACCATCTCTCAGCTGATTTTTTTGCTTTGAGTTGAGAGCTAAAATTTGAGTTACAAGCCAGCTTCAGATATCCCACCACTAGTTGGCACAGCAAATGCCACAGCAAACCACAGATTAAGAAAATGAAGAAACTGCTGTAATTTTTTCATTTTTGTTACTCTTTTAATACCTGACAGGCTAGCTTATAGAAAAACACGTGATCAAGTGACGTAGGCATTAGTTTATGTCCATGTTGTGTGCGGCACTACCATCTCTCATTTCTTGAATTTTCCATCTTTTCTTTCTTTATCTATGCAGCAAACACTTCAAACTTCCACAAAACCAGTTTACTACAGTACATTCTATTGTGCTTTTATACAATATTCATTATTTATAAGTACATTTATCTTATTTAAAAACATGTAACAAAAAAAATCGAAAATTATGGGATATAGAGGTATGGTTCTTGGATCATTTTTTTATGTATTCTTAGTGAGGATTCTTGCTCTTCAGAGTTTTTGTGGTTTTGATGGGACACCCTTATTAATTATGTCAAGATCAGATATACATATTCTATTAAAGTTATGTAGGAAGCTCCCTGCAGTAGTCAAGTATCATAGCCCAAATTTTATCTGTTTCAGTTTCTTGATTTAAATTAAATTGTTGTGTTTAAGAGATTTTTATAATTTCTAAATTCTTAACATAATTTTGGATAATCTGCTCTTTCATTACTCTTTATATGTGCAGAAATACAGTGTATATAATTTGAAAATTTTACAATGTTATATTTATTTTTTGAAATTTTTCATATAACTGTGACTGGAGGGTAGGCACCATGTCACAATGCCTCGTCAGGATGACACCAGTATGTCAAAATCGGCATACAGTCGCGATAGCAATCTCATTCTTGCGCAAGCAGTTACGTATAGAAGGCAGTCAGATCCGGATGGAGGCAACACGAGAGACAACACGTTTAAGGAAGTGCACCAAATCCAAATTAAACAATAACAATTATCCATTTATTTATTTAGCTAATTATACAAAGATTAATATTTAAAGATTGCGTGTACAATTTAACAAATTCGCGTTCTAAGTTGATAGAGAGAGAGCTTACATCTAGATAAGTTGTATAGGTATCTTACAATGCTGGATTGATGAAGCTGACAGTTAGAAGGAAAAGTCACTTTTTTGCAGATGTTCTTTTTTTCACTAAGTTATTTTAAAAGAGTTTTTTTTCTGAAGGAGTCACTTTAAAAGAGTTTACTTATTCAAGGTGTTTACTCAGGATGGAGAACAATCCAGGAAGTATCCAAATGATGGGCAACTTGACAAGCTGAACTTCTGGTGACAATGACGTTCGTCATTCAATCCTCCCTTTTATTGGGGAGTTTTTTTGTGTTTTTTATTATCTTTTTTTGGAAATATTATAGGTCGTGACCAATAGATGAATTTCAGTGAAAGTTCTGGGTGACACATTCGGGAGATGTGTCACCTTTTGAAAGAAGTGAATTCAGTGGAAAACACAATCATATCCTTCCATCTTTTATTAATTGTTGGGAAAAAATGTTTCCTTTTTTTTTTATTAAATTTTCTTGCATTAAAATAAAATTTAAACGTAAATTTTCTTTTAATTAATATGAAAGGTTATAATCGATAATTAAAATCTGAGTTTTCACATAATTGTTGCAATATATTCAAAATACAAATAATATATTATGAAAAGTTTTCTGATAAATCTGTTAATTGACTTATAAGGTATACCAGTATTTGCACTATAATCATACTGCAGTTAAGATTTAAGAATATTAAGATTTTAATTTAGATTTTGAAATGTTAATTAACAGTACTCATTTATCTTTTATACTTTGTTATAATAAATCTAAACTATAAATAAAATAATTATTAAACAAATTGAATTAATATAATCATTTTCTAAAACAAATATCTTCTTTGAATAAAATAAATTGAAATATATTTTTCTACTTATTTTATTAATAGAAGTTTCTTTCTAAATTTCTAATCCCAACAAGTAAAGACATCCAATCTAGTTAGCCATAATATCAAAATGGATGATTTCATATGAAAGGATTTGATTGATTTATAAGAAAATTTAATATTAAAAAATTGAGTAAAAGTTAATATTTATTTTATAACAACAACAACATTAAAAGTTATTGAGCTGCAATTTGAAAAAAAATTGTAGACCATTAAATTCCCACTGTCATCCAGCTGTTTGTCTGGCTGTGTCTCTCCTTAATCTCGAGAACAGAGTTAGATAGGTGAAAATTGAGACCAGGAATGGAAAGCTTAGGGGCAGGAGGCCCTGATTAATTGTATATAAACATCTGGTTTGCACTGTAAGTTACATTATTTCAATTGAAAAATTTTTCCTTGAAAGGAGTTAGATGACCAGCAAGACATTACTAATTTGAGGTGGAGAACAAATATTTTAAATTAAATAAATTAAAAATATGATTAAAAATTGCAGGACAACATTGTGACTTTTAATTGTGATGTCACAATAAAATAATTACTCATGAATATATGTAAAATATTTATTTAATTTCATATAAACTTACTGTAGATTAATTTTTTAATTTAAATCAATATTATTCGAGTTTAAAGTAAATATGATTTTATTTTAGATATTGTTATTTTGATGAATGGAATTTGGCAATTAATTGAAGCTGCAGAGCTTTCAAGTTAGTAATGTTGATTATATATTCATTTATATTTTTTAATATTTTACATGATACTTAAGGTATGTAAATAGCTAAATTAAAATTTTGTTTGTAACAAAATAGTGTATATTATTTGACTTCATAATTAATAATAAAAGTACCATAAAAAAAAGAATAAGGCAGTTTTTAACTTTTTTTTATAAAATTTTATTTAATAATGTACTATATCTTGAAAAATTCAAAATTTTTCTTTATATTAAAGAATTATAAAAGGTTTTGTGGAACCAAAATCAAAAATAAATATATAATGTACATTAAAAAGTTTATTAATAATGTATAACATATTAAAACAAAAGAAATATTAATGTAGCAAATAAGTATTACTGCTACAAATAAAGATGAATTATAATGTTACTTATGATAGAATTCTGATGTAAAATATTTTATTACTTTTTAAATTAAATTTTAAAAGATTATAATAAATATAATTTGTATCTGTAGGTTATCAAAATGGAAAGATAGATGATTTAGGTAAATATGTGTAGTTGAATACTTATTATAATCACAAATAATAAAAAACTTAGGTTTTATAATTATTATATAATATGTAATATAATATGTAAAATATATACAAACTAGGTATACAATTGTAATGATTGTAAAAATATTTTGGAATCATAAATTCAGTTGAATATCAAATTGCAAATGTCAAAATTGTATTTATCAGGTTATATTTAGGCTAAATAGAAAATATTGATTAATATCATTCATTTCTGTTTAGTTTAAATATAGCTTATGGCTATATTTAAATGAAACACTATAAACTTGCTATTATGGTTACTCTGTTGAATAAATAAAGCTAATAAAGTTTAAATAAAGCTAATGTTTTTGATTTGGCTATGGGCCATCTTTAGGCTTTAATAGTCCACACCTAAAGATGGTCTATTAACTTGAGTCAAAAACATTAGTATTATTTAAACTTTCACTCCCCCTTCCATCAGCCACTGTCAAAGATGCATTGATTAGTTCATTTAAATATAGCCTATTAAATGATCTAGTAGTCTTGAATTGTTTAAAACACTTTGAAACGTGTTTGATTAATTTAGAAAAAAATTAATTACCTGTAAAATCAAACTAGCTGATTTTAAATTCCTTGATTTTATTCCCCAGTCTGTGGCATTCAAGGTTCTACATTAAGCAGTCTGTTTTTCCAGCCTATATCAACAATATTTTAGGCGAACTTAATTCTTCTACTATCCCCAATGCCAACAACAAACTGGTAAACTTTGATTCCTATGTTCTGACCTTGACCTTATATCTTTCCTTTTTGAATTCTCCAACCTTGAAACTAATGTACATAAAATTGTCACAATGGGTATTACAATTTAAGGAAAAGTCCATTTATACATAAACAACAAAAGCCCTTCTATACGTAAACAACAAACTTACTTTTAAAGGGTACACTGATAAAATAATAAAATTTTTATCTATTCATTGAGGCATATTTTGGCACTTTTATGAATCCATTTCATGTAAAACAGTACTGCATTCCCTCTTCTTTGCAAACTTCCAATTGTTATTTGATTATTGCCTTCCAGTATGAGCAATGGATGCACCATCTCATTTTACTAAAATTTCTATGGAATTTGATAAAATATATCTTCTTTTAAACAAATTTTCTAATCTCCTGTTTACATCTAATCCTGATGTTACTGTGTCTAGATTAGGTCTTCTATCTTTGTGTGTTACTGATTTTGATCATTTACTTTTTTACAAATATTTTAATGATTTTATTTGCTCCAATTGGCTTTCCCTGTGTGTTCCCTAATGTTTAACCTGCAGTCTATCTTGTATTTTTACACCTTTTAGGCTAGCTCTTTCTATTAGGTCTTATTTTTATTGTTCTTCTTGAAACAATTGTAACTTTGAACAATTTTTACATTTTGACTTATTACATTTTAAACATGTGTAAATGCTTATTATACAGGTCCAATATGCAACCTTCTCTTGATTTGTAACTTATTTTTTATTTTATGTGTAATTTTGTTTGTTATATGTGTATTTTTTTCTTTTGTTATTTTAGGATCCTTTTTATTATTGTTTTTTTAATTTGGGGGAGATCAGTTGTCTTAGTGACACTTCCTATTGTACATGTAAAATAAATAAATAATAGGTGTTTATGCAGCTTCAAAATTTTATCATTTTACTTACTAATTTTATTATTATCTTCAGTTAATGAAATAATATAATCTATGTAATGTAATATAAGGAAATGAAATAATAATGAAATCTTCAGTTAATCCAATTTTATGAGATAAGCTTCTATTTTATGTAGTTATTCATCATATTAGAATTGGAGATTCAATGGCCAGTTGGATATCAGTAGGATTTATTACTTGTGAGTTTTGATAATATTTTTGTATAGAAAATAAAAATTTTTAAATTAATAAAAAATTAATGTAAACTTTTTACTTATAGTTTATATTTTTGAAGCCTTGTTAAAGATGCTTGGTCTTGGATTGTATAATTATTTTCGTTCTGGATGGAATATGTAAGTCCATAATCTTGTTGATTTTGAATAAATGTGTTGTTTTGTTTTACTGGAATTATTTCCAGTAAAAAACTCAATGTAAAATTAAATTAATTCAGTTAATTCATAGTAAAATTAAAATCATTGTCTCATAAAAATAATGTTACATTTTTAATTATTGTTGTGTTGTCCAGATAGTTAATAATATAGTTAGTAACTTATAATTATTATTGCAAATTTTATAAAATTATTTGATGATGATAGCTGGATGGCTGAGATACTTAAAACAACAGATTACTGCTCTTTGGACCCAGGATTAAATCCAAGCAAACAACTCTTCAGGAATTTTTCATGGGCATCTGTCCTGGATATTTCAAGCTTTGTCCCTCATCAGCCAGCTGAAACCATGATGGGTACAGAAAAAAGTTATTCTCAGTGCCCGTGGAATGAAAAGAGATGAAAAAAGAAAAAATTATTTAATATATGAATTTGAAATATAGAGATATTAATTTTTATTTACTAATTAGGGAGAATCCTTTTTGTTAGTGTGAGAAACCGTGGGCCAAGGGTTAATCCCTCTTGACCACTTACTCGGCAACAGTCTGCAAAGACTGCTCACGTTGTCGTTCCAGATGGCTTTTTATCGAGTGGCGAGGGAGGTGAGAAAGTCGGCAGGCATTCTTTCAGAGATAGGAGACAGGTTTAACAAAATAACAAAGCATTTATTGAATAATTAAGCTAGATTACATAAGACGATAATAATAATAAAGTTTAAATGTGGATAAAATATGAATTAACTATACAAGGGCTGCTCTTAACAGCTCTAACAGCTATTTCAAGAGAGAGAGTTCACAAGCTCTAAAATACAAATACCTCTATGAGGATATGAATGATATGCATGTGTTGAATGGGCCGTCAGAATCGTAGTCGGCACAGGAACTGTAGTTGAAGATAATGGATGGAAGTTCAAAGTTGTGGTCTGTCGTATGGCAATGTCCTTTCGGTCACTGAGTCCAGTATATGGAGACAAGATGCACACATTAACAAGTATAACTTCCTTTGGATTGCCCTGAGCTTCCGGTGTCTCAAGCTTTTATACTGTCTTCATGGGAAAGGAGTCACATGTTCGACTTATGTTGACACTAACGGTGCATTCCAATCAATCAAGTATCAACTTTCCCACCTAACTGTGAAAACAAACAATGACCTCCGATATAATTCTCACCAAGAGTGGGTTTTTTCCATTGGAGTTGTTTACAAACTTTTTTCCGACAACTACATAAAAATCGCAGATCTCACATTAGTATTAAGACCAATATTAGCCATGCTAACAATACCTCTTCCTTGATGAAATAAATTTCCTTTAAATTCATCTTTAAATTTCATTCCCCAATATGATTCACCTCCAGTAAAAGGAGGTAATACCACAGTACAAGTACAGGTGGTGAATTATATTGAGGAAGGAAATTTAAATGATTTAAATGAAATTTAGTTCATTAAGGAAGAGATACTATTAGAATCCTTTTTAAAATCTTGTAGGTAATATAGTACATTAAAACTTTCCTAAAAAAAACTAACCAAAAAAATTTTTTTATTATTATTGATCAAATAAGATATGAACTTTTATATTAACAAATATAAATATTAATGAAATAGAAAAATAAATCCTGAAGAAACTTTATTAAGAATTAGATTAAAAATTTAAATATTAAGTATGCTTTGACTAATTTTCAACATGTTTTTAAATCAAATTAATATATTTGATTTATATAACATGGTAGTTACATTCTGAAAAAGTGCCATGTTATGCAAATCTATGCTGTATGAAAAAAGGACTAATACAAAATGGGATTCCAAACGTTAACAAAAGTATACTATTCTTTTCCATTACTAAGAGAAATATGTTTATTAAAGCAATCAATAATTAATCAACAATCCAAATTAAAAGTACTGTATTACATGTTAACATTAATTTTAGTTAGATAAGGTGGACATTGGGCACTATCTCTTAACAGAAGTAATAACTATAATTTTAAATTTAGAATAGTCTGGAAGAAGTGGGCGTTTGTTATTTTTATGAACAATTGCTTAACTCAGTTAAAAAGTTTTAATATCAATTACAATTACCTAAAAATATTTAAATTAACTTTACTAAATATGAAGTTTAATATATAAAAACAAAACACAGTGACACTCTTAAAGACTAAAATATGAAAGCAATGAAAATGACACCTGATTGATAGGACAGCTAGGACAAAGAACAAAAAAAATTGCACTATCAGTTTACATTAAAGTAAACCTGATGAAAGCACAAAAGAAATTAAAAATTTCAATATTCTAAAATCCATGGCATATTTGATATGTGTGTGATTACTTGAATAAAAAAAATATCGAATAATAGAGTTTGCACTTAAAAGTTGTGAAATTTTATAAGAAGGATTTCCCAAATTCTCCAACCATGTTAGAGCAAAACATGTTAGAGGAAACCATGAACAGGAGATTTCCCCAATTTTCAAATTGTATTAGAGTGAAACAATGTTGTAGAAGTGTCTTGTTGTGTGATGAATACCTATATTAATATTAATTTCATTTATATTATTATATTTGTAAATTAATAAATAAGTTATTTATCAAATTTACTAGTTAAAATTAAAGTATAAAAATTTAAAAATTTACCTAAAACTTATTTTATAAATTTTTTATTGTAAATTAATTGTAAAGTTTTACTTATTAACTGAAAATTGTTAAACCACCATATACAATAAAACAAAAAATTTCAATTGAGAAAATATTAATGATTTTGTTTTTAAAAAAGAACATGACATAAATAAAAATGTGTTCTATTTCAAGTGTAAAGTACTATATTATTTTTCCAACTTTTCCAATGATTATCGACACGACTGTGTGCCGGAAATAGCCGTTCCCTAACAGGTACTTTATGCGGATTTGCATTAGTGTGCCAGGCCTGGACTTTTAGCGTGCACCGAAATTAAATAATGACCAAGTTTGTCAATAACAAATCAAATATTTAATTAATAATTCTAATAATAACTATACACAATATTTAAAAAAATCAAATAACAAATTTATTCAATGAAACTCAACAAGAATCAACCCGACAAAACTCAAATCAATCTAGTTTCTAACTTAAATCTATTCCCCTTTGGAATTCGACAAAATTCAAAGACTTAACTTATATACAATAATTCTTATAAATTAAAGATCCTAATCGTCACCTCAATATACTAGGAACCTATTTCCTCAACTCTCAAGGCTTTCTCTATTCGTCGATCCACAAATCGAATAACTTCAAAATCGCCTTGGAACTATTTGATCCTATCGGACATCTCTCTCGTTTACTGCTACGAAGCTCACCAAGCTCGTTGCTAACTTGAGTTCACCTCGTCCGTCTTCGCTTGCCGTTCGGTTTTTATACTGTGAGGTGACATCACAATTCTGAATGAGATCACTCCCCTCATTTACATACTTATTTGCTAACAATAAACTTTTCTATTTGTCTGGCAGCCTATTTTTCCGACAATATTCGCTAACCTTTTACATTATTCTTTTTGACAATTTTCGGGATGTTTTATTCTTTTAAGGTTTAGTGAATTTAAGTTGTGCTTGTGGAGTCTTCTCCCTCCCCTTTTCTCGGTGCGGACTTACTTTTTTCCGCCCGGGAACACAAGTGTGCGTGAGTTTTTTTTTAAGGCGCTTTTCTCTCGTTGGTGAGTTGGTTTTTCTTCTATTTTTAAGTTTCTAAGGTGAATGGTGAGGAAACCTTCGTCCTAACAAAACATAAGCCCCAAACAAAAATAGAATAATAAACAAAATAAAAGTAAATAAAAATAATGTTCGGACTTGGTTCCTTACACCAGTTGTCAAATCTTGGCTTTGATTATAATCAAATATATAAAATTAAAATATATAAATATTATTTTAAATTGATAAGAATATTTTTGTATGTTATCCCAAATTTAAAGTTTTTATTATTAAATATAGAATAGCTAGAATGAATGATCTTAGCTGATTGTTAGTCATTAATTCCTAGTCTTGGAAAAATGAATGTCCTAGGAATTATTTTTAGAATAAACAAAAGCATCAAAAGATAATTTTGATCAAAATGATTTTTTGAAGCTTTGTTTCTTATGTTATAAGAACATAAGACTATTTTGAATATTGCAAAAATGACAATTTTAATGACAAAAATGACAAAATTTTGATTATAATGGGGGAAAAGACTTCTTGGTAACAATGGGCAATTTTTTGCCAAAAATTAAAAATAAAATAATAAAAGAAAGTGCTTCTTTGAAAATTAGTGACATTATTTAATTTTAACTTTTTGTTTTTATTATAATATAAAAAGAATCTTATCAATCCTTTTTCAGTTTAAAGTAATACTTTTTAATATTAAAACAATTACATACATAAATACTATTGTACTATATATATATATTTTCTGTAAATCATTTTGTAAGTTAATACTGTAAGGCAAATTGGTAAAGTTCTCCAGCCCACTGTTCATAAAGTGAATCATTTATAAATTGAGGACAAATTGTAATATTTAAATGAGATTAGTTCCTTCAATATGAAAGTTGAGTATTAAAAGTTAATAATTTTTCAATTTTAATAAAATGTAATTGTGGTACAGTATTTTATAATTATTTTATGTAATGAATAATTATAAATAAAATAAGACAAGCAATTATTTATTGTGGCATTTTTACAATGCTGGGTTACAAATTTTAATCATATTTTTAATTTATTTAATTTAAAATATATGTTCTCCACCTCAAATTAGTAGTTTTGTCCCTGTATATCATATTTTTCTGTTGCAACAGAGTTATGCTGGTCATCTATCTAACTCCTTTTATGGGAAACTTTCTGAACTGAAATAACTGACTTGACTTCTGGTGTTAACTGGAAGTTCATATATAGTTAATCAGGGCATCCTGCTACTAAGCTTTCCATATCTGGTCTTGATTTTCATCTGTCTAACTCCATTCTTGAGATTAAAGAAGGAAGGAAGGAAGAAAGGACAGACAGATGGATGATAGTGGGAATTTATAGTTTCCAAATTGTAGCCCAACAAAAGTTAGAAATCACCACAATAATCAAAAATCAGCAAAAAAAGAACACTTTAATGAAACTAATGTTTTCAATTGACTTTATCAGTCATCAAGTTTACAATGAAATTACTATCGGACATAAAATAGAATTTACAAATTTGAATAAAAAGATAATTATTGAATTGGAAGTTGCTACTTGTGTTATCACTTGCATATCAAGAAACTTGTGAAGTTACTTCAAAATAAATTTCCACATGTGTGAAATGATGTCTTCCTCTTTATAATTTTTTTGCTTATTCATTTCTTCTAGTTTTGTAAATTTCAATTTTCTCTTGGTGTTTGAGTTGGGCTTTGTTCTGGAGTAGATGTGCTCTGTCTAGGTGGACTTGTACTTGATGACCAGTAGAATATACTGCTAAAGTCATTGTGGCAAGACTCTTTTTAATAGATTCTTCATGTTCTTTTAAGCATATGTTTAAGGAGTGTGCTGTTGCCTTATATACTACACCTTGTTACTGACTCTATTGTCCAATACATGAATGGTGTATATCACTGGAAGGTGTTTAGGTTTTTGGATGTTTGAAATTCTTGAGCAACAGTGGCATAGCGTGGGTGTCAGCCACCCGGGGTGGAGGAAAATTTTGCTGCCCGCTTATTTAGGTATCTCAATTTAAAAGACTAAAATTCAGTTTCGTCACAGAATAAGTAATGAAAAATTCCGTGCTCATTTCAATCGGTCCAAATCGTGGGTGCGACAAAAATATGAAATGAAATGGTTCAAATTTTTACAAGATATTATTTATTGTGAAATTTTGCCACCCCGTAAAAGTGCCGCCCGAGGCGGGCCGCCCCTGCCGCCCCCACTACACTACGCCACTGTTGAGCAACTGTATGATAGGATTTCTTTTGTAAACTATTCTGCAGTTACTTGTTTTAGCTGTTTCCTTACATGTGACTAAAAGCTACTTGATATATTTAACCATTTTGAAAGGTTTATTTTGGTTCCTGTGGCTGTTTTTAACTGTAGTTGATGTAGGAAGCCTTCTATGATCTTGTGTTGTATTATGATTTGTTTGATATAGTTGAATCCCTTCTTCTGGTTGGTTGTGTTGGAAGAATGTCCAACATAGCAACAATGACTGATAAAGTCAGTTTAAAACATTAATTTTATTAAAGTATTCTTCTTTTGCTGGATTTTTGGTTATTATGATTATTTCTTACTTATACATCCTGTTCCTTTGATTGTTTTTAAGAGAAAAGTTATAAATTAAAAATATATTTGAAAACATTGCCATAACGAAGAAGTCTTAATGAGATGTAGCTGGTTGAGGATTATTTAGATCAAAGAGGATTATTTGGATCTTTTTCCTCTCTCCTCCAACATGTTAGTTTTAGTATGGTTTGAGACTGGGAAACACCTCTTAGAATAGAATAACTGTATTGCCAATTAGGTTCATTATCACAGATAGGAGACTCATAGGCACTTTGTATTTATGTTAAAGCTTCTTTAAGTGTTTTTGTAGTGAGCATCTTGAGTTGTATCATTTCCTAAACTTCTTTGTCCTCTTCAGTGTTATCTTTAACAAGTTGTGCTGCCAGCTCCTAGATATTTTCCTTTGAAAGTGGCTCTCCATAACTTTCTAGCAACTCGTTGATGTCATCAATGTCAATATTTTGGCCATTTTACAAACATCATTGGCTATATCTGAAAGAAGCTCAGTCCCAGAAAATTCAGAAACTGCATCAGGCACAATTTTCACCAGATACCGTTCATACATGATTGTCACATTTCTGCCAGCTACTGAAATATTTTGTATGCTTTTAAGAACATTAAAGGCCACCAAAATATTGCCAACTTTGTTAACAGTCTCGATATTACATTGTCAACATATTTTATTTATGCTTTTCTTTTTCATGTTTTGTCATGTTTTTGAAATTTTGCTATTGATTTTGAAATGTTTATTAATGTATCTTTGTAAAAAGAGGAAATGTAAAACAAGTCCTTACTGTATATCAATTCAAGGGTATGCACACAGATGGTTGGGGTTTAATCTCCCCATTTGGAAATAATTAAATAAAACAGTATATCCTATATAACTTTTATTTATTTTGTACCGATTTGGTTCTTTCTTAGTCTACTGTATTGTGTTACTCCATATGTTGTAAAAAGTAATAAACTATGTTATAAAAAACTAATGTTCTTTTTAAACCCCACCCTTTTAAAAATTCTGCATATGGGGGAAAAAAGATCAATTTGGTCAATTTCTTCCCCCATAAAATGATACATTTGTTACATATAATTAATAAATTCAGTAGTAAAAAGCTTTTTATCTTATATAAATATTATATATTACTAAAAATTAAATATTTCAGCAAGAATCAATTCCTTTATCTTTGTTAGTTATTTAAGAAATTTTATTTTTCAGATATGATTTCTTTGTAACAATTGCTGGATTAGCAGGATTGATTGCTGAAGAATTTGACTGTCCATTTGTTTTTGTCATCATTTTAAGACCGCTTCGTCTGTTACGGTAAAATTTAATAATAGAAATTAATTATCATAAATTTTAAATAATTTTAAAATTAAAATAAATTTTTACTTTCAGATTATTTAAACTTAAAAGACGTTACCGTGATGTACTTGGAACACTTTTTATAATTTTACCCAGATTTCTTAGTGTTGCATTAGTTTTAGTTGTGGTTTATTATTTTTTTGCCATTATTGGAATGGAATTATTTTCTAATTACAATATGAAAAATTGTTGCATGTAAGTAATTAAAACATAATGACTATTAATATATTGCTGATATTAAACTGAAAAAAAAATTTTTTTCTAGAAATTCAACCGTAGAACAATTTTATCATTATGATAATGACAGTTTATCTAATGGATATTATTACCTAAATAATTTTAGTAATTTTGTTGCAAGTGGTGGTAAGTTATATATATATAATATTTTTTTTTTGAAGAATGAGTAAAATGTTTTGGCACTATCAGAAGAGCCTAGGTTTGAATTTTTCTTAGATCCAAACCTATTGTAGTGTCAGTTAAAGCAAAAGTAAACTAGTGAAAGAAGTTTTCAATGCTTGTATAATACAAAGCATGTTAAAAAACATTTTTTACGGTATTATAAAAATTATATATTAAGTTGGAAATGTTTATTTAATCAAATAAATATTTAATAAAATACAATTGAGAAATTACAGCTATTAAATCTTAAATTTTTGAATTTAGCAGGTGGAGGAAAATTTTGCTGCCCGCTTATTTAGGTATCTCAATTTAAAAGACTAAAATTCAGTTTCGTCACAGAATAAGTAATGAAAAATTCCGTGCTCATTTCAATCGGTCCAAATCGTGGGTGCGACAAAAATATGAAATGAAATGGTTCAAATTTTTACAAGATATTATTTATTGTGAAATTTTGCCACCCCGTAAAAGTGCCGCCCGAGGCGGGCCGCCCCTGCCGCCCCCACTACACTACGCCACTGTTGAGCAACTGTATGATAGGATTTCTTTTGTAAACTATTCTGCAGTTACTTGTTTTAGCTGTTTCCTTACATGTGACTAAAAGCTACTTGATATATTTAACCATTTTGAAAGGTTTATTTTGGTTCCTGTGGCTGTTTTTAACTGTAGTTGATGTAGGAAGCCTTCTATGATCTTGTGTTGTATTATGATTTGTTTGATATAGTTGAATCCCTTCTTCTGGTTGGTTGTGTTGGAANTATTGGAATGGAATTATTTTCTAATTACAATATGAAAAATTGTTGCATGTAAGTAATTAAAACATAATGACTATTAATATATTGCTGATATTAAACTGAAAAAAAAATTTTTTTCTAGAAATTCAACCGTAGAACAATTTTATCATTATGATAATGACAGTTTATCTAATGGATATTATTACCTAAATAATTTTAGTAATTTTGTTGCAAGTGGTGGTAAGTTATATATATATATATTTTTTTTTTGAAGAATGAGTAAAATGTTTTGGCACTATCAGAAGAGCCTAGGTTTGAATTTTTCTTAGATCCAAACCTATTGTAGTGTCAGTTAAAGCAAAAGTAAACTAGTGAAAGAAGTTTTCAATGCTTGTATAATACAAAGCATGTTAAAAAACATTTTTTACGGTATTATAAAAATTATATATTAAGTTGGAAATGTTTATTTAATCAAATAAATATTTAATAAAATACAATTGAGAAATTACAGCTATTAAATCTTAAATTTTTGAATTTAGCATCACTAGTGTTTGCTAACTTTCAAACAAATAAAATTTGGCTCTTTACAATTTTTGAATTTGAAATATTAAATAAAATAAATATTTTATGATTTAAAATAATTAGTTTAATTAATTTGTTATTATTTACTGTAAAAGTTTTAAGGAATTTTATAAAAAATTACCTTAAAATATCTATTCTTTGTATTAATTTTAAAACTAATTATAAATGAATTATTTCATCGTAAGTTAATAAATTTTAAAATTTATAATGAAATATATGTAAAAATAATAGAAGAACATACATAACTATCTTATGATATTAAATAAACAAAAGTAAGAAAAAGTACTACAAAATTGTTCTAATATTTTTCCATATAGTATTTTTTACACTGTTTATAAATGAATAACTAATAAGATTATTAGAATGAAGAATTTAATTTGTAAGGGTAGAATCATTGTAGATACAGAATAAAGTAAAAATACATGAAAGTATAGAATTTTACCTTCAACTTTCCAATCCCAATCTTTTTTGCCACTCTATGATGCCTTCATTTCTGTATTGCAATTTATAATAAGTTTTTGAACAATATTTGTTATATATATTTTAATTATATAACTATTAAAGACAAGAATAATTGATGTTAAGACAAAATGAAAATGCTGTTATTTAAAATAAAGGTAAATTAATTAAAAAGAATTTAAAATAGTCAGGTGATGTTAAGTTACTTGAAAGTGAATAATTATTATTGGACTTCACGCCGGATATTAGATAAGCAAGTTGAGTCAAGTAACTTAAGCAAGTTTCTCAACTTGCTTAAGTTACTTGACTCACAGACATCATTATGTTTTATAAGGCATCGAGAGTTGAACTTTTACCGCTCTTAGGACCTAAAATATTTGACATTTTTAGATTTCAAATTTTTCTGAAAATGTTTGAAGTCTCCATTCAAATGCACTGCAGTATTCCTTTTTTTCTTGTAGGAAGTCTGCTTCTACTTGAACTGTTTATGTTACTGAATGAACAAACTAGCTTCATTATATAAATTATAGTTTAATAATAATTCTAATTCCTATTATATTATTTTATTAACATAATTTTATAATGTTCCTTCTTTCTTATATTTAACATTAAAAAATCATTATGTATATTCTTTTACATATATATTACAGAAAAAAAGATTTTATGTAATACATTCAATTTTAGGATAAATATAATTTATGTATATAATGATAAATATTGATTTCATTGTCAAATTAAAAAATATTTTATTCAGTTTCTTTTAAAAAAACTTTGTCTCTTCAAAAATTTTAATATTCTTTTGGTAATAAATTAAATTCAAAATTATGATTAGACTTTTGTTGTCTCTCATAATTTTTTTTATTTAAAATAGATTCAAATATCTTAACAATTATATATCATTTAACATGGTACATTGCATCAATTACATAAAATTGAGTCAGTTTCTAGATCAAACTATAAATCCATATAACATTTACTTATGGTATTGAACTGACAAAATACTAGTAAATGATTTGTACTATTAATAATTTATGGATAAAATTTTTTAAAGTTCTTGATAAAATTTAATAAATAAATGAAAACTCTGAACAATAATCCTAATAAATTTATCTAATAATGGATAATGATTCTAATTAACTGTTATCTAATAAACTTCAGTTTTTTAACTTTTGTTTCAAGCATTTAATATTTAAATAAGTTTCAAACATTATATTTGACCTATTAGAACTTTTGTTAACAAACAAGGATATATATATAAATTATAATTAAAATAAATGAAATTTAAAAATTTATATTTATGATGAACTTTAATAATGCTGTGTGTGTGTGTGTATGTGTATTTATTTATTTATTTTGTTAAATGCTTTTTTCCACAATAAATTTTACTATAGACTATTTAGCATAATTTTGTATTTCTGTTTCAGTTACATTGTTTGAATTAATGGTTGTTAACAATTGGTTTATAATCATGAGTGGATATGCTGCTGTTAGTACTGAATGGAGTCGCATATATTTTATGATATTTTATATCATAACAATGGTAAATTTTCATCACAGTATATACATATTTTTATGAGGTTGTTTATAATATCTTATTGCTATGTTTCTCAACCTTTTTAAGCCCAAGGATCAGTAAAGTGTCAGAAAAAAATTCTGTGAACCACTATGTTATGTAGGCTTAATTTTTTTAAACCTATTTGGGTATTAACATTTGAGTTATACTGTGCCATTTATAATATAATAAATCTAAAATCATATTTTGGATTCATATGGAAACACAACTAATGAATTGGAAGTGAACTATTAAAAGTAAATCATCTTTGAACAAAGAGTTTTAATCTCTCTTAATTTAAGTCTATCTGCGGACCAAATCATGGTCCATTGGTTGAGAAACTCTGTCTTATTGTAATATATTTAACTCTTAAGTGACTATTATATCAGCTATTATCATCACTTAACTTGTTCTTGCACTAAAATACTAGAAACTGATGCCAGAATAAAATATCAGTAAAGAGAAAAATCTTTATTTTAAATCATTCACAGTTTTAATTCTAGTAGCACTGAAAAATAACAAAAATAAAGGAAGCTGTGTATTCTGTTACAATTCAAAATTGAATTCGTGAAACTATTATAGAAATAAGTCAAACACCTGATCATCATAATGTACAGTACATACTGCTATTTTCTGTATATTATTAGGTTAATATTGTCCAATAAAATTCAATATATTAAATATTGATGATTGAATACTTTTGTCAAGAGAAATATATTCATATGAAAATACAATGAACATTTTTATTTAAGCACAGCTGTATCCATAAACATAATTTTCTGTAAATGATCAAGACAAACTTTCAAAGTTATCTCTTTAAATATTTATGGTATGTTAAGAGAAAAATTGTAATCAGCTTTTGTCACTTAAGAGTTAAAATGTAATTTAATGTAAAGTTTAATTTTGCCATAGATTTATTTACATAGAAAAATTTATTTTTTAAACTAGAATATAAGTAGTAGCAGTAAAAAATTTTAATGGATTGCTTCTGATATTATGCCATTAAAATATCATAAATAAAATTAAATGATAAAAAAAAAAACAAATATTTTAATAATGCAAAATGTATTATGATGTATAGATATTTGATATTTCAATAATTATGAATATCTAAATCATATGCATAATAAAATGATTCAAAATTACATTAATTTATTCAATTTATTTTGTTATTAATTCAGGTGTTTTATAATTGATTTTGTAAAAGATTATTATATTTTCTAATAAATAATTTATTAAAACTATTACATATTGTAAATTATAATAATTCTTGAAGATTTCTTTACATAAAATTTTTAATCATGAACATATTTTTTTTCTAATCCACATTTAACTTTTTCATTTAGGTAGTAATAAATATTGTTATTGCTTTTGTATTGGAAGCATTTTTATTTAGAATTCAATATAAAAGGATGATGGGAGATATGGATAGTAAGTTTTTATTTATTTTAATAATAAATAATTAGATAGATAAAAGTTAAATTTCAAGAATTGAATGTTGTTTTAGTTTTAAAAAAAGAGATTTTGATTACCTTCATATTCTATTAATATGCATAAATTACATATATAAACATCTCAAAGCCCAATAATTATATTAAAGCCAAACAATTACCATATTAAATCAGGCTACATTACTACTATTAATAACTATTAAATTTCAAGTAATTTTGCACTAGAGATACGTATTAGGTGCCATCTACTTGGGATTTAATTATTATTAGTAGATTAATTAGATTAATTAGATTATTAGTAATGGTAATGTAGTCCAATTTAATCCAATAATTGTTTTGCTTTAATATGCATAAATTAGCCATTTGAAACTGTTAATTGATAAATAGAAACTAAACGAAATCATTATTCTGGATATTCAACTCCGTAATGTAAAACTGAAGAGCACTGACACTAAAAAAAACAAATTTTTAAAGGAATCTAACAGATCATCATTTTTAAAAAAGAAAAAAACGAATTTAGAAAACACTATTATAATCTGTATTACAGTGAAATCTGATGATTGGAGCTAATATCCTGAAAAAAATTTAATTCATGAATAAAAATGATCTGTTGGACACTTGGAAAATTTATTGTTTAGTGTTAGTGCTCTTCAGTATGAACATTGATATTTGTTTTAAAATTTTCCATCAGTTTTTTTTTATTCTTCTTAATAAACTCTATAAAATATGTCATTGATTTAATTAATTTGTAAAACATTATTCATTCATTTAGTAAGTCAATAACAATGATAAAATTTCAAACTTTAAAAAATCGTTAACCATTTAGGCAAACTAAACTTTAAACTTTTTGTGTCAATCACATAATTAATCTTTTTTAATAATTATAATTATTCACAAAAATCTCTATGCAATATTTAATGTGTGTTATTCATAGCATCATTAATAAAGAATATTAAAGATTAAGAAATGTAGACAAACTAAAAGCATATTTAATTTTAGTTTGTCTACATTTCTTATAGTTTGTCTACAGATATTAAGAAGAAAAAATTTTATCTTACAATATATTAGAGAAATAAATAAAATATTATGTTGAAGAATATAAATGAAGATGATCAAGAGAAATTACTGAGTTTCTCTTCTATAAATTTATGTTTTTTCAGTTAATCTTTCTTTTGGTTCATTAACATTGCAGAGATTCTTTCTTGAATTTTTAATCATTTGTATAAAAACAATAAAACAAATGATTATTTACTGATTATGTAGAATCTTGTCAAAACAAACAACAACATAGCGTTTATGATGTCACTAGTAATAATGTTCTTAAAGGAAAGTACAGGTGGCTGGATGGCCAAGCAGTCAAGGTGGCAGCCTACCGCCCTGGGGGACCTGGGTTTGAATCCAAATGGGTTGTAAAATCTCCAGGACTTTTTCGGGGGTGGTCCGTTAAGATATGTCAAGCCCAGTCCCTCACCACCTGGCAACCCCATTGTGGGCCTGGTTGAACCCATAATGGGCTTGCAAAAAGAGGCCCTCCTAGTGCCCACAGGGCAGAAAGAGTTAAAAGAAAGAAGAAGAAAAAAAAAATGAAAGTACAGATAGTTTTTATTTTGAAATATCATTCATTGAATTCATCTCCTAACTTGACATATTAATTAAGGTCATGCTGTTAAAGTTAAATTCTTTTATTGTGATTAAAAAAGTTAATTTAAAGTTAACATGGCTTCTTTGTATTCTAAATCATCATGCACTAAGCCAAATTCAAATGTTATTGACCACTCTTAAAAGTTCTTCAGAGTGCTTCAAACTTCCATTGTCTGACTTTCTGAAATTTCTCCTTCACCCTATATCTCTATTCTGGTAAGTGTAGGCTTCCTTCAACATTTAAAAAAATGAATTCTCCAAATTAAATCTCTTGAATTCTGTTACAAGAATCCATTCTGGAATGTACAGTAAATCACATTTCAAGCAGTTTGTTCCAAATCAGATCATAAGCATTCAAAGAGAAAAGTTTGTAAAACAGGATAATAAAGAGTGAATGTGTTTTTCATATTTATCATAGAAAAGTAAAGAATAAATCTAATGATAATGTATAAGGTTTTTTTTAATTATTCAAGTTTAGCATTGTCATTTAGATGCTAAACTTAAATAATAATTATATTTTAACATGATATTCAAGTTTTTGAATATAAATTTTGAACATTTTTTTTCTTATATATCTGAAATGTATTCCAGTATAGTTAATCAATGTAAATACAATAAAAACATTTATTGCCAACTTTACTTGACTAATCATTTTCCCTATAAATCGTAGAGATGACAATAGATATATGGAATGACAAATTTTATATAAATAAATTTACATAAAATTTAATTTTTATTGTTAGTAAAAATAATTTATTTTGGCTAGTATTTGTCCCAAAATCAGTATTGTTTAGGAAATTTACAATGTGCAGTTTTCAGTTTTATGAAACAAATATTACAATATGTACTTATAAATGAGTGATTTCTTTTTTATTGAATTTTTAAAAATACTTTTCTATGATTTCTGTTTTAATTACTCAAGGAAATAATTATTAATTAATCCCAATTATGTTAGCTAAGAGGATTTCTGTGATTTTTTTAAATATTTGTAATTATTCTCAGCTAAATGTTTTTTGTGTTTTTAAAATATACAGGTATACCTCGCCTTACGTCGGTAATTGGTTCCAGGAAAACGACGTAAGTCGAGGTATGCCTGTATATGATAATCTCTAATATTATGAGTATTCTGTTCTATGCTAGAAAGGAAAAGAAAATGAGGAATTTATTAATAAACTATATTTGGAATCTAACATATGTGTAAGCTACAGTGAAGATTTGCTTACACATTTATTAGATAATAGTTAAGTTAATTTTATTTTTGAAGATATATTCTGAGAATTGACGGCATTTTATTTTATATATATATAAAATTTTAAAGATTACAGAGATAGTTTTGTTGTTTCCTAAAACTGTTCCAAAAGATCCACTAAC